TTATCAATAAAATAACTCTCTCTCTCTCTCTCTCTTTCTGTGTGTCTGTCTGTCTCTCTCTCTCTCTTTCTCTCTCTCTCTCTCTCTCTCTCTCTCTCTACTATCAAAAGAGAACGAACGTGCCATTTAAGCGGCGTGCAATTGAGAAATAAGAGAATTGTTGCTTCATCATCAATGATCATTAATGCCGGCCATTTATCCACCACAATGTGAGAAAGATGACTTAAATGGCAAGATATATGGACGGTTCAATATCACTCATGCTCTCCCTTCCACTCTCAGGACAACCCACCAGGATATCCTCAGTGACAGAAGAAATCCAAGGCAAAGGACGAATAGCTGCTCATAGTTCTTGAGAAATGCTTCACAAAAGACTGGATTTGTAACATGATGGAAGACAGTGGAAGGGCGTAGTGGCCAACCTAGCATGAGTTGATACCCTAATAATGTATGAGAATAGAAGGGTAAATAAGCACCAAATCTGAATGCCTTCCACATTAAGTAAAGCCATATTCCCCTTTAGGGCATATGATTAGGGTTCTTGAAACTAACATTAGTATCCTGAAAATTGTTAATAGTGAGCAATCCTGCCCCTTTTTTGGTATCTGATGAGTGGTTTGCTGCTTACCAAGAATCGATGAGCAGCCAGTCTTCATGTCGGCGGCTCTGAGGCTATACATCAGACCATCTCCCAATAGCTTCTCCAACTCTGATTCTATCCCCACTTCGGATGGAGAACTTGAATTCCGAAGAAGCTGAATCTTTCTCAGTTGACCCTGCGACAGGAGCTTGGAAGACAAGCACTACAGTTGACCCCATGTTGAATACTGCGACCTAAAAAGGAAATAAGAAATAAAATAAGAACGAAGGTAAGGGCCCAATCGACTGTTATGTGAATTATCACGTCAGATGGAATTCCTACTTCGTCGCCCTTCTTGAGCTTCATGCCTCTGGGTTCATACCGACGTTCTTCAGGAGGTTCTGTTTGCAGAAGCTTTCGTTTTGGCCGGTTGGTCATCAACTCTGGTTCTATGAACAGCTGCCGATGTTTTATGCAGGATTCAATGGGTTGATCGAGAAGAAATAATCTAGTCCTAAAAGGCGAAGTTCGAAAAAATCTTTGGAGCATATCTGATTCAATGAATATTTTAATACACGTAACTTTTGCATAGAAGAAGACCTTTTGATTCATGAAATAACAACAATAATTCGCAGTAATATGTGATAACTTGGTATGTGGGAAGAAAACCATTGCACCTTTATAGATCCAACATTTGTCGCGCCAATTATCGCCATTGACATAAAGCCCTCGTCCCATTGACCTTCAAGAACAACCTAGGAGACATGAATTGGTAAGAGTTGGCCAGGAAAAGCAGGGATTCCTATGACAATACACAAATAGGGGCTCATGGAATTTGAAATGCCAAGGTAAGCCCATGAAAAAAAACCTGATCATCTCAAAAGTTGAATTTATTTATGGAAGTGGATATCAATGTATTTTGACTAAAAAGATCATTTATCTGTACGTGCACATCAAAGTGACCTGTGACTTTCATTAATTCGGACACTGAAGTGAGCATAGTACTTCCTATAATTTTTTTTTGTAGAAGATGTGAAGGATGATCCTTGTCTATGAGAATTGTAAGTCACTATATAATCCATATCATCACAATAAAAACTTGGCCTTACCCTTTCATTCTCGATATGAAGGTTTCTGATTGTTTGTGTGGCACGTTCATTCACAGGGAATAAATGACCTGAATCCAAACGAAGAGATGATTCAAAAAATACACCGCGCTAAGATTTATTGTATCTAGATTCCACATTAAATAATGAGTCTTCTCATACATTCTATAAGATGATGATACCTGCAAAGTGTCGGCGAAGAAAAACATGCCAATCAACAGGAGAGTGCACACGATGATAGTCACCAGGCTTCAAATATATAACACAGTAAAACACACCTCTGATTGGACTGCCATCACAACAGAGTCAGGCAGACGTTAGTCAAGTCAGAACTTTAATTTCCTTAAAGAACGATGGATGATGATGCATCCAAGAAAAATCATGACATTGTAATGTTCAAGAGCAGATCACATTATAGAATAGGGCGCGCCAACGACCAATTATTGGTGTGCAGCAATGCTAAATGAACAAAATAGTACAAGATACAGAAAATTAGAGACGAAAGGAAAACCAAAAAAACTTACCATGGATTAGCATAAAAATTACCATAGTTGGGATAAATTGAAAGGGACGAATTCCATGCTAACCGATGCATTAGATTTAATCAGGCCTTGGAATTGACAGGTTTCTGTACTAATGTCTAAGGCATTAAGTTTCTGGAGATAGAATACAGCTGGGCACCATGAGGACAAGTCTGATAAGATCAGTAAGTCCAACCAGACGAACGTACAAGGTACAGATCAATACACTATGCGTCTTTACATTCCACTCTATGTAACCTTTACAGACAGTGGAAGAGGTTTCAATTACAATCTAAGATGAGAAATGGTGCCCATTAAATACACAGAATAATTCGACTCTTACTTACCAAGAGTCGTCATCTGGACAGGGAAGAACTTTAATGCTAGGGTGATGCGGGCTAAAAGGCGATCAAAATCTAAAGGTGGTGATGTTGCGGTTTGGATGAAAGTACACATCAACATCAATATCACCTTACAAAAAGACACGAAAAAGTTGTAGTATCACTACCTTCAAACAAACCACAAAGTCACAGTGAACATTTTAGGTTACTTTCCATTGAATAAGATTATAAAGGGAGGCAAATAAGATAATGCATGTGAATTATCTCTCTAATTAGAAACTTAAACCACACAGAAGACGTCAAAAATTTCATCAAGAGAATAAAAGTAGTTTTTCAATATTTCATCAATCTAAGTTTTCCGATTGGATCTACCAATATAAATATTGATGGAATTCACAGAAAGTTCATGACAGAGCAAACTGTACAGATATGGTGAGAAACTTGAAATAAAAACACTAATCCGCTCTAAAGCGTGATGAGAATAGGGTGGATAGTGGTACGTAAGGATCATATAGTAATTCATTCATTGAAATCACAACCAAATCATAGTTATGTAAGCAATGAACGTTATGTAACCTCAACCAGAAGAAATGGCATTAAGAAACGACCAGTAAAATTTCAGTAAATCCAGCATCCCATGAACTTATTCAACTGATCCCCATCAGGCACTTCCACGACTGTTATCTAAGCAATTATCATTAGAAACTAATAGCTCGAACAAGTTCTCACAAAAATAAGGTTGATATTCCCTTCTAAATGAACATAAGTTGAAAAGTCCTTGCAACTCTGATTCTCACTAAGGGTAGGATCGACCATTGGGTATAGCTAGAGATCCTATTGGACAAGATAGTGCTGTCAAAGAAACTTTGAGCGTAAACTAATCATTCTGAACAGTTATAGGTTCAAAACATGAATGGCTCCACTGGATTTCAGCTTTGTACGTCACAGTACAAGACCACCTACGCCCCAATTCGATATTACGCACCATGTCATAGTACTGCAAATCTCATACCGACCATAAAAATAGTAAAACATCCCCTGCATGTAAAAGATGCATCAAACTTGAGGAATAACCAAAGCCTCGTAACCTCAAGATGGTGATGGGTCAGGTGCACTGGCCGGTACATGAGCCTCTTACTAAGCGTTTATCTCTTAATGTTAAACAAAAGGATGTCAAACGACATCCCTCATTGGCAGGTATGGTAACACAGATTCCTAAAAACTGAAAGCAGATAAAAAATCGTTAACCAATGAAGAGAATGAACTTTTCTAAATTATGATATTTATTGGAAATTTAACTTTACAAAAGGAATGCTTCTAGATACAGATCCGAATTGCTGGACAGGAAAATAGGAAGTACCATGCAGTCTTAGGAAGCCGAACTTTAGGCGAAGCAAAAGAGATGCGCCACCATGATCTTTTGCCTGAATCTTTGCTTCTTGCTTCATGGTACTCCATGTCTGTCACGTCTTTACAGCCATCCTCCAGAAGAAATGGGCTTGCCCCGAGAAGAGAAGTTGCAGAATAAGAAAAACCCTTAACTTGGTCAATCATAGCTGCAGATTCTCTAAGCTCCCCAAACTTAAGTACTGTGCCATCCACGGGACTGACCTATTACACAGAAAGCACGCGGAATATTGAGGTAATTTCCCCTAAATTAAATGGCAAGGGGTAGCATAAACTATAAACTTCCTAACATCAACCGTTACCAGTTACCAGACAATGTGGATCAGGGTCAATTGGCCGGGAACCGTCTTTCAATGTGCGACCGAAAAACTCCTGTAAAGATTTATATCCATCTAGTGGCAGAGCAGCTTCTTCCAAATCTGCAGAAGAGAAAGTTCGGAGGCGACCATTATCATGCGGCAAACAGTGAAATGTAGTGGAGATTCCAAATATGAATTTCCACACGTAGACTAGAAACAAGAGAAATATTTATAACATTAAGAAAAGTGAGCATATTTAAAGAAAGCTTCGCCCACCAATCTGATGTCAGAGTAGCCAAGGAATCAAGACCAGAAGGAAGAGGACGCTTCTGATGTGATTTCCAACAGTGGACACAGATATGGCATAGATGTATTGGGTTGTAGGGAGAACATATCTCAGAAGTAGGCAAATAAAAAACTAAGGACCATAGAAATGTTTAAATGCAAAAGTGCAATTATCTTGCTCACTCAGTCGTACTCAGTGTTCTCCTGCATTCAATCCTTCCATCATCACAGATCGCGTCAAAGTTGAGAATCACAAATTCTCATACCTTGATTGTCTCTATTGGGACAAAAATTATTTGGTCAAAAGTGCCATCATGAGCTCCACTACCTTGATTTATATTACGGATGCTGGAAACCAGAGGAGAAAAGGGAATTGGAATGGTCTTGCTTTTCTAAGGATGAAAACCCAAATACCCAGTCAATTTCCAGGAAATCCACAGAGGAAAAAGAGGATGGTGTATGGGCCACCTCCAATCCAAATCTGACGAAAGCTCCATTTATAAAAGGCCCATGGTACCTAAGCAATTGGGAGGACATCTTATTGTCCACGATTACAAGAAAGAAATATGTCCAAGGCTGAAGGGAAAGAGAAAAAAGGAAGTCGCAACAACATTTCACCAATTTGCGGAGAATATACTCTAAGCGCCATCATGTAGAGTTTCTAGTATTTTCTTCATATCAGTCACCTGATCAAGAACTATTTGCACCCATATTTCATTGCCCAGGGTCTGAAATTCCTTGGACTGGCGTAAGCTATTGAACCTTCTTTCACTTCGTCCTCACCAGGCAGACTTCAAGATGAGATGACGTGCGAATTGCAATGGGCAGTGGTGGTAATTGAGTATCATTTTACCACCCATAAAAGAGTACAGATTAGCCAGGCCCATCTTACTATAGACAAGACAAACCATGCAAGCGTCTCCACTGCCTAGGCTATCGAAAACTTCATTCAGATATTCCACAACATGCAGAATCTCAGAGGACAATCAATCAAAAACTTATTGACAACAATGAAATAATTTATACGAGAATATAAATTCCTAGGTTATCTCATTCACATTTGTCATTTTCGAAAAGAATATTTTAGAAGCATTGTCAATATTTCTACGCGAGAATAGATTATAAGCGAGCATATTCAGGCAAAACAATTCATTTAGAACTGTCCAAGAACATGGCAGGGGGCATGGCAAAACGTACCAGAATGAAATGCACGTGCCCAGGCTCTGTAGACAATAGGACGAAGCCAGGTAGGAATTTCCTGATAGATAGAGCAAATAAAAGTTAAAGAGTAGGAAATATGTACCACATAGCGAAATAGAAATATAAAAACATAAAATAACTACATGTTTAAAACAATGAAATTATCTTGAAGTGAGCCAAGCTAGTCCAGAATGACAAATTAACAAGGGATTTTGGATATCAAATCCAGTTTGCATCATTTCAAGTATTTCCTGTTAAAAGCAAGTAAGAAATGTAAAATCAGAAGAAATTCTACAATCCCTAGCCTGATTTCAATGAAATTGTGAGACACCAAAAGGCAGAATAAGCTGGCAATGAACGATTGTAAAAAATGCCGATGACATGACAAGATGGTTATCTAATCACAGTACATATACTAACTCTGTTAGATAAAAAAGCATTGATGACTTAGAAGACATCCTCTAATAGGCAGGATAATCAGTAATATGACTAACACACTCCCATTAATCAATCATCCAAGAAGACTGCTAGATACCAGGTCAATAACCACAAGATGTAAAGGGGAACATCATATATGAACTATTTATATATGCAACAAACGTAAAATGATAGCCACCAACTGTGAACTAATGCCACTGTTATTCATTTATGGTATTCCCGATTGACAAGTGGAATCCTCAAACGACCAGTGGCATGCTACTGAAGATAGAGAAGATTGACACAAATATAAGGAAGAGATAATCAAATACAAAACAAGCACAGAGTTTTACATAGTTGCACATATAAGAGTTAGAATTACAAGAGATGATTTATCCCCCTCCATAAATAGGCTAGGTAAAGGAAATACTACAGTAAAACGTTTCTCATATCAGTGGATAAACATATCACCTGTTCATCATGTTTGCCATTCTAACACAATCAAGTGCGGAACGTTCTCGGATTAACTGGGTTACAGAAGCCATATTTTACTCCTCAGACAACTTTAAGATACCTCATTTGATGTTATGCTCGTCCTTTGCAGAATTAAGTGCTAGTTGGATAAAGGTGAATGAGACAGCAAAAATGAGAAACTGATATATGATAACAATAAATTTTTGTGGGAATTTAATCCAGTAGGGTTGGTACTGGTCCCCAGTAAAGTGATGCCTTCCTAATGACGTCATCGACAGTATTTCCATCTTCAAACTCGCTATGATCACACTGTCCAGAAAGAAAGCATTAGACTCATCATACTTTCAGTTATTGCTTGTCCTAAGTGAACAGAGATACAACTTTTCTGGAAGACGTATTGGTCAGTAGAACTGAGCCATAAGGTCCCAGATATCCATATTTCTCTTTTCTCCTTTTTCTACTTTCTAATGAATATAAATTGTTGGGTACCTTCTATAGAGAAAAGAAACCAGGGGATTAACCAGAAAGAAAGAAAACCTGGAAAAGAACAGAACGCACTAAAAGATAACATGGAGAAGATAACGTCCAGGAAAAAGTTTAAAATTTTAATTCACATTCATTTAACAATGGCAACACAAAAAGGGTTTAAAAAAATGAATGCTTCAGATAAGCGCCAGTATTATACTGACCACACCTGTGAAGAGACCCCAAAAACGAGAGATCGAACGAAGGGGTAATAGCTTCAAGAATGCAGCCTACAGTTGACACCAGTCAGGAAAAAAAAGGCGTTCATTTACATATTAATGCTAAAGATGCGTTGCTTAAATTTTCAAGTACTAATGGCAATAAGCACAAACCTTGGCATCAGGTGAAAACTCAGGTTCAATCCCTTTTTCCTTCATGACTTTAAGCTATCAAATTGCAGTACCAGTTTAGTAATAAAATATGAACTTAAAAGTAAAAAATGCTTGCATTGTACTGCAAAAGACACGCGATTACTGAAGACTGTTTGCATCATCTCTGTTTGTCACATAACCAACTGTTCGTACAACCACATTTTCCTCAAAATAAGAAATCAAATAAAATATTTTTCCTTAAAAGCTAAGACTAAACTAAGCAGAAGTATTATCTGGTGGTTTTAGAATTAGGACACAATTCCACATGAACATATAATGAAAAAAGTATACAATACTTTTTCAAGTCCAGACCCTGAACTTTTTGACTCCCTTCATCAGTAATAAAAAAAACCAATAAAAGGTTACCACATGATTATTTCACCTTCCTGTCCTCGTAGAGACGCCGGGCATGAAGAATGCCAAGCATAAGTATGGTAGCCATCGTTGCACCAGACACCATGAAGAAATTGCCTGAACGCACGTTATAGTGACATAGAGACGTACTCCAAAGCAAAGAACAAGGAATACAAAAAAAAAACCGAGGAAAACAGATACTCTGGAACCAACTACTCAAAAAAAATATATATTAGGTGCTTTATTTTAATTGACACAGACAAACAACGTGGCCTAGGGAGATGAAAAGCTCAGTGGGTAGAACAATTGAATCCAGGCTAGGTTGGCTTTTGGTGCCGCTGGGATGGTAAGGACATTTTTTTTGCAGAGAACACGCTAATTGGGTGATGGCAACTGCTAGGGCAAGTGAATTCCAGGAAGCTGTTGGGGCCCCAGATATCTAATCCATCAGCTGGTTTAGACAACTCATAAAGCAATCATGATGGAACAAAGAGCATGGACCAAAAAGCACTAATGAGGCTATGTGTTATGATGACAGCATCAAAATAGAGTGGCCCAGCAAGAGAGTTTTGATGCTTGAGAAGTGTATACGAGAAGCAAAGGTAACATTAGAATCTTCTAACGATAGGAAAGTCATTTTTATGCCCTCTCTTAGAAGGAATAGATCCAAACGTTCTTATTGTGATTCCTTGGCAGTTCATCATAGAAAAACATTTTTACCAGATAGTAAATGAAAATGGGAAAAATACCTAATTGCTTGGGGAAATAAAATCATGTAGTGTCATGGTATTTAGTCAAGTACTTTAACAACTACGATGCACATCTTTTCTTAGAGCAGAACTAGTGGGAGGTTCAGCCCTCATCACAAATTCTTTCTCGAGGATGCTACATCTTCCCTAAGGAGGCATTTTCCATGAAGAAAGCTCCCCTAAGGAGGCAGCATCGCGTGACACTGTCCGCGGAGAATGTTTACTCAATGAACCACGACATTGAGAATTCTGTGGCATGACCGAAAGTCTTGGCCAATAGCATTTGGCAGCTCAAGTGGGGAGGCTTCTATATGGAAGGGACAAACCCGAAAGTTAATGCGATCTTATATTACTTTGATCAAAGCATAGGCTTGATGCGGTCACCAAGGCAGTCTAACAAGGAAACACGGGATTTACACCAACTTGGCATCATGGTTCCTAATAGAGAACACGGATGAAAGAGAAAAAACACAGAAGACCGAACTTCTCATACCTTCGCGGCCACCACGGCTGCCATCATTTGCGGAGAAGCGGGCCGCCTGGAGACCTCGACAGAAAGCGGCGGGGCCGAGCTGGAAAGGGGGGAGACGATGGGCACGGTGAGGGAGATGCTGGTAAGGGAGGAAGGGCCATCGATATAACGACCTAAACTTCATCCCCCTCAGCCTCGCCCCTCCTCCCGACCTCGCTCTGATATGGCGCCTCTCCGACCACCGAAGCGGGAGATTTCAGTCTCTGAGTGTCGCTCCGTCTCCGACACGACGATGACGAAATGAAGGGTATAAAGGGAGTTTCGTCATTAAGCCCGCTGGATTGTTCAAGAATTATGAGGCCCATAATGGATTTGGGATGGGCCCATAATGATCTGGAATTGAGCCGGCCCAGTTAAGATTTGTAGCCTGGAATGTTCAAGAATCTGAGCCGCGCGGGGGTACTTTAAAAATCAGGTCGGGCGTTGGCTGGACACTCTGTTCGTCGTTCCCGCTCAGGGGACTCCCCGCAGGGAGCAATGGAAGAGGAGGCGGACAGGTCGTCTATCGTCGTTGGCATGATCGAGAACAGGGCGAAGGAAGTAAACGCTCCTCTGTCTCTCTCTCTCTCGCTTGCTCTGTGCAAACGCGTACAATTATCTTATGCTAGTGTACTTCCCAATGGGAGAAACGATCCCCTATCCAGTTTCCTGTCTTCTTTTGGTGATATCCTCATCGCCGAAATAACCGATTGAGGCGATATTTTGGTATCAAGAGATTGATATGATCAAATTTGAGCTGGACACGTTGCATGTGCGAGATCGCTTTGGCAATCTCCTTTCTAGAACGAGTTTTTAAAAAATAAATTATTTTAATTTATGCATGATAACGTCAGCAGTGGAGGTATCCAAATGCCGAACAAGTTTCCAAAAAAAATACGTTGATAAAAGAGATGCATTAAATGAAGTTACGGGGGGCTTATTTCCAATCAGATAGAGGGATAAATAAAATGGAACACGATACTACGGGGTTCCATATCACCTCACTGCATGTGCGTAGCATTCATAGATCATTACGCAGAATATATTTAGGTTCTTGCCAAGGAAGTGAGCTCGTCATGCTCAACTTTCTCTCATGGTTGCTTATCATTAATGAAAGGAGAGAAAAATATTGATTTAGGCTACAACTGGCAAGCATACGTACATGCATCTTGCTAAATTTTTTAGTTTCCCGTCATTATGGTTGATGAACCTCTGGAACAACTGCACATAAGTTTTCTTGATATTATCTATGGAGTAATTGTAGATCAATGCGCCGTTGCATATCTGTTTCCTTTTTTTCTCCTTAAATGGAAATAGCAGACAGAACCAAAGTCCACCTTCTTTCTATTGGAGCATAGGAGCTCCTCAAATCGATTGTCATGCCGAAGTCCCGTGATGTTTCATGTGACTACAATATAGGCTTCTTACGATTTCCCTGTGCAGGTTGGAGTGGCTGCATTTGACTTGAGATCAGCGTTCTTGCATCTCTCACAGTACATTGAAACCAGCTGTTCATATCAAAACACTAAAACCCTCCTACATTTTTATAATCCGATGGTAATCATCGTTTCTCCGAACAAGCTTGCGCCAGATGGTATGATCGGAGTCTCAGAATTGGTGGATAAGCATTATACATCAATTAAGAAGGTCTCTATACTTTCTTTCAGCCTTTTTATGATATGTTTCATGTTTGGCTGATCTTGCAAGTACTCTCAGGTGTTCATGTCTCGTGGCTGCTTTGATGATACCAAGGTCAAATCTTTATCATTTTTTAAATTTAGTTTTAGTTGATTTATATTTGGTGATCTTTAAAATCACCTTCAATAAGCTTCTTATTATGTATGATATTCAGGGGTCAATACTGGTTAAAGATTTGGCAGCCAGGGAGCCATCTGCATTGGGGTTAGATACATATTACAAGCAATATTACCTTTGCCTGGCTGCTGCTGCTGCTACCATCAAGTGGTAACTAGCCAAATTAGTTGGATAATCATTCCATCATCACTAATAAAATTGATGCCTATATGTTTTTTTTAATTCAACTTCTATATATTCTTAAAAAGTTTCTTAATTAGAGCTTGGCACTAATATTCGTTCCAACCTTGCAACCTTGAGTCCCCATCGATTAATGTGCTGACGTCATCTTTATTTGATTGCTTATGCGTGCAAAGAAGCTGATATCTTTGTCAATTAGCCTAGATTTTCTCTTAGCATACCTATGTTCTTCAATAAGTTCTGTATACAGATTCATTTGCTTCTTCTGAAGGTGTTTACCAACTCTAAGTCTCAACGTCAGATGCCTCTGTATGCTAATTTTAAAATGGAAATTACATAGTTTTCCCTTCAATTCATCTTTGGCAGATGCCTTTCTTGCTTTATTGTTTACCTGGGCAGATATTGTTTCCTTCGATGCTGCATAGTTTTCTTGCCTTTCTTGCTCAGTGATGATAGCATAGCTGATCCCACTAGTTACAATTGAGTTTCACGAATGCAGAGGACGCCCTAGCACGATGATATTGGAAAGGTTGGCTTAAGATCTATGTGAACTTTATTTGACTGAACTTTCCATGATTCGATGCTATCCTGAATTTGAAGCCTTCTTCCTTACCATGGTTTAAGTTTGACAATATGAATGACATCTTCAGAACACGAGTTTTTTGTTCATTCCATTCTGTATTTTATCCTGAGAGTTGTGTTGTTGTCATTTTAGTTAAATGTAATCCCCCTGTTCCTTTACCTTCGTTCTTTTGGACGCGTGAAATATAGGTTGATTCTCTTGTACACGTTTCAATAAAGGATTTTATCATCCACATCTGCTGTTTCCGATTCACTTCTGACATGGTCTTTTTCTCCATAACTGCTGAATTTTATGGCATAACCTTTTGCCTATTCACGCTCAATTTCTCTTATTGTGAGGTTCTATTTTTCTTTTGGACATGTAGGATTGAAGCAGAGAAAGGCATTGTGGTGACAAACAACTCATTGTCGGTAGGACAGTGTCCTTGATTTCTGACTAATTCTTTTTTCGTCCTAATGAAAATGCCATGATATTTTAGTCCTTCTGACGTTTTCCTGTTCGGAGGCATTTTTTGGAAAAATTAAAACATGGATATATTAATAATAGTTCTGCTGATCCACACTTCAGATAACAAACCACCCTTCATCAAACATTTCGTGATGCCCTATTTCTATTTATTTTAAAGTATATTTCTGAAGACGAAAAGAATGATGATAACTCTGCGTAATATTTTGTCACTTGGACAAAACTGATGCCATGGTTCTCTGAAAAAGGGTTCATTCATGTCATAATAATACAAGTGTTGTGGTACTCGTTTTATGACATCACAATCTGCGATTAATTGATATTTTCATCATATGATAGGTGTTATTGTTGTCGTTTCCTATGCTACAATCTTAGTTTTGTTCTCTCTTCTCTACAATGATAAGACCACAAATGCAAGCCCTTTTATGGTTTATAATGGAGCCTCTTCCTTTTCTTACACATATACCAACAAAAAAATTACTAAGAATCCCGTTATTGTGTTAAAAATGTGTAAGATAAGGTTCAAGTTGATGCCTATTGGCTCTCCTGTCCCATTCTCTGGACACTAACTTTGCCTTGTTTGTCATGGACAACTCATAGGTTACCTTTAATGGTTCTTTTGATCACATGAACATTGACGCTACCAGGTATTCTCCTGAGAAAGAATTTTAAAAATATCATGTTTCGTAATCTACAACAGTAAAATATAGCATGTTTCTTTAGATTGTCAATTTATTCTTTTAAATTGATATATCTTTTCTGTTCGTATGTGGTACAGCGTTCAGAACTTGGAAATTATTGATCCCTTGCATTCTGGTCTTTGGGGAACTAGCAACAAGAAGAGGAGTTTGTTTCAAATGTTAAAAACAACAAAAACTATTGGAGGGTATAGTTCGTTTTGGTTTAAAATTTTAAACTAAACATCATGATTTCTACGTAAACGGATTTTCTCTCTCATATTTTCTTTTTTATTACAACTACATGCCCATGGTCTCTTGTCTGCAGTTTACTTCATTCGCTTTATTTAACTTCAGTATAACTGATCAACTTTACTTTTAGACATCATTTCTGCATATTTGAATGCTTAATGCGACTAATCTCTTTCACTGTTTTTGGGCATATTCCAATAGTCTCTGATTTCCACATTGAAATTAGTTTGGAGTAGGAGATATCTGAGAGTATGCGAAGTTGATTGTGATGTTATCTTATTAAATATTTTTTTACTAATTGAGATATAAAAGTATATTCCTATCAAAATAGATGAAAGCTTCAGGATGATTGTACGAGTGAACCATTAGACGAGATTCTCGGAATTAAACATGAAGAAAGGAGAGGGTATTATTTAGTTAAATAGGAGTTGGAGTATGATAAATAGATAGATAGATAGATAGAGAGAGAGAGAGAGAAGGGCTCATTGACTTTGATAAATGAGACATATCCTGAATTTGACAAACAGCAAGAGAGAAAAAAGCTAGTTAGGTTAAATGTAATGTCTTATTGTTCACATTATATTTTGGATGACAGTTCTGGCCTAGATCACGATCCAGATCGGTTACAAGATTGCCCCCCTTGCGTTAAGATGTGAAAAGCATTCCCCACAAATGGAAAAAAAATTAGTATGGAAATATCTTGAGAAAATCCCCAATCTTTGCGTGCCGTTCGAGGTTTATCTGATCTATAGCTCATATTACAGAATTTCATTAAATTATTATTCAGTTGGGAAAATAACATCTTCTTGCTCTCTTCCTCATATGCTTCCTCTTCTCTTTCGTCTTTCTCTGCTGCAGTAAATCAGTAAACACGGAAACAGTAAATCAGGAGGCTGTTAGAGGCTTTTCAAGTAGGATTCTAATGGTTGGGAGTATCAATGCAGTAAATCAGAAACACCATCTAAGACTGAATCCAGAGGTAGACAATACCCAGGACGAAAATTAGAGAGAGAGAGAGAGAGAGAGGGAGGGAGAATTGAAAGCTATAAATTTAGTCCACAACCTGAAATTAACACAACATTTCTCCGGATAAAACGTTTCTGTTTAAGCGTATATCGTAAGCCAAACTGTTCATTTCACGTTTTCAAGGGATAAATATTGGTTTCTTAGAAGATAATTCGGAACAAGAAGGTAAAGTCTCGTTATCTTCTTGAGAAATATTGTGAACCAAATGATGGTTCACAGAAAGCCACTAAAGAACGTAGCTTCTACTAGGAAACTACAGTTCTAGAAAATAATGAATCATCATCATAGACACTCCAGCAAACTATGGTTTGCTCAAAGTCATCAACACTCCAGTAAATGCAGAGAGCAAAAAGATTAATTCGAAATCTCAACAGGCCCCTCCGCACCCCATCTCCACCTCAAAGAGAGAGAAAGAACTGCACGCCTCTTTCTCCCCGTCCTTTTCTCACTTTTGCTCCAGTAATGACAGTTAAGCTCAGTGTCTAGCAATCACTGTGCCAATCAGTGGATACAATCTCATACGTGCTTTGTTTATGCTCTTTACTTTAGGTGGCGGTAATGGTTATCGTCAAAGTTTTTCAGGACAGTTTACCATAACCCTCATGACGTGCCAATGAACTCAAGGATCAACCATTTTGGGCTAAAACATCAAATAACTAAGGGAAGTAGTTCACTTTCCTTTCTCATTGTTTGAAGTGACCTCATAGCATAGCCCAGATACATCCAGCCGTATTTACTAACCTAGAAATGGACAAGCTACCGGTTTTGAAGTGTTTGTTTAAGCTTGGTTACCCCTGTTTACCTTTTAGTTTTCACAAATCTGAAGTAGATCTATACCAGCACATCTCAGTCAAAGTTATCCAATTTTAGGGCTACGTTCGTGAGGTTTTCCAGTGTTCCTTGAGATGACAAATGGAAGTCGTATTTGTATGTTCCAATATCCTTCCATCGTGAAATTTTAATTATTATTTTTCAACGCCTTCTAAGGCTGATAAGATTGAAAACTTTTGGTGATAAATTTATCATAGATGATGGAATTTGTATTATATTCCTTTACACTCCATGTTCATATATCCCTTCCATAGGTACAGTTTTCTCCACTCGAAGCTAAATGGATGTGCTTTTCAGGACTAGACTTCTTCGAGCAAATCTGCTGCAACCCCTAAAAGATATGGAAACTATAAATGCTCGATTAGATTGCTTGGTAAGGTTTTTTACTCTCCTCACGCAATAATAAAACTAGCGCTACATTTAATTTATCTCATTTGCCTTCTCGCTTCTAGCATCAGACTCATACCATCTTATTTTCATATTCATGTTTTATATTTTAATGTTATGTACGTTTTGTGTTGTCTCTTTGATGCTATTATGCTGTTATGTACTTTTTCTTAGCTGATATACACAGCCGTGTGATATAGAACCTGATGTTCATAAAATCTGAATAAACCAATTTTCCTGCTGGATTCAAGCCTCAAGCATGTCTTCATTGATGCAAAAAGAATCTCCATCATTCATATCCATTTCTTCCTTCAGTAAAATTATGCGTGCTTTTGTATGAATATTAAAATATATTTATGTATGCCAAAAGTATGCTACAAATAAGGCTTTTAGGTTTCCACTTCACCTGCTCGGTACGTTATCCCGATCTAGGGTTTTCTTGAGGCACGCAGAATTTGATGTGTTTTTCTGTGGAATATCTATTCAACGACAATCCTCTGAAGATTTCTGCTAAACATATCCATAATGTTTTTAAACAGAGAAACTAGCTTCTTGGTCGTTTTGTAAAAAGGTCTGCGACCAGAGAGCAATCAGACATGGGTCGTTCAGGAATTACAAAATAACGCAATTCATAATCGTTCCCGGCTCATAATTCTTGCGTTCGCTGGTTATGTGATACGAGAATGAACGAATGTTTACATCATACACCATTAACTCTCTTCCACTTGTCATATTTCAAATATTAAATTCAGCTGCCTGATTTTCTCTCTATATTTTTCATTTACGATATAGTAAGACTTCTGTGCTTCAGGATGAGTTAATGAGCAATGAGGAGCTATTCTTTGGGCTTATTCAGGGCTTACGAAAGTTTCCAAAAGAAACAGGTGAGTCCATTCCAAAAGTTTCATTTACTTCCTACTTTAGCGTACTATGGACAAATAAAACTCTAAACAAAAGTCTTCTCAAATTTCTGTCTGCTAGATAGGGTGCTCTGTCAATTTTGCTTCAAACACAACAAAGTGACAGATGCGGTAGTAGGACAAGCTGATTCGAAAAAGAGTCAAGTGTTGATCTCGAACATTATAGTCCTTAAAACTGCTCTTGATGCCCTTCCTTTTCTTTCCAAGGTGAAGTCATGAATTATTTATTCAGAGTTTTGAATATTTTTGGTCTTAAATATTACTGGAGATCACTATTTCAGGTGCTGAAAGATGCCAAAAGCTTTCTTCTCTGTAACATTTACAAATCAGTCTGTGTGAATGAAAAATATGCGCGTATAAGGAAAAGGTATGCCTATTTGAGACCTTCTATGACAAATGAGTGTCTGTATGCTTGTAAAATTTTCTTTCCTCTCTTTTTAATTTTGGAAGAGAAATTTTTAATAATTTAAAAACATATTTCTACGAGCTTTTCAGATGTACTATACAGTGAACGATCTCTTAATATCGAAGTAATAGATATAACTTTTTGTAAGATGTCTACTTTGAAGGAAAACATTTTATGCATGATCTATTTGCAAGCTGATTGAAATTCCGATTTAGAAATTTCAGTCAGTCACTTTGTCTGCATCTAAATGATTGGGGTCAACTGATCTGAGTCATGCGGCTTCGTCCGTAAAATAAACTTCCTACGAATGAGTTTTCAGAGGTCTATTGAGATCTATTTAGTGTCGCTCATTTATGATATTTCTCCATGTGCAAATAATTCTAAAGTTGATTTTGTGTTATTTTATTTTAAATATTTTAAGCTTAAATTCTACAGCATCTCTATTGGAAATTATTATTCTCAGATAATCTATTGCTTCTGACTTTAAGAATAGGCGAGATCATTGATGAAGACGTATTACATACAAGGGCTCCCTTTATTGCCAGCACACAACAGTGTTTTGCTGTCAAGTCAGGAATAGATGGGCTTCTGGATGTCTCAAGGCGCACATTCTGTGATACAAGTGAAGGTGCTGAAACTGGGATTGTTATGGATGTTGTTGCATTTAAGTACTGATAGATTATTGTTTCAGCTATATATAACCTTGCAAACAAGTATCGGGAAGAGTTCAAGCTCCCAAATCTGAAAATCCCTTTCAACAACCGGCAAGGATTTTATTTTAGCATTCCTCTCAAGGACATTAATGGCAATATTCCCAAAAATTTCATTCAGGTTTTCTATTCTCATGAATACTTGACAATGTTATGGCTCAGTATCTAGGTATTAACGTCTAATATTTTTTTATTATCGTATATTTTAAACTAATAGGTTACGAAACATGGGAAGAACATGCATTGCTCAAGTCTTGAACTGGCATCAGTGAGTGTTATTGTTTCCTTGTTCCTTCCCTCCCGTTGATGTTTTCCATTCTTTTTTGCTTCATTACCCACTCTGCTTCCAAATTTCTGGATCGCTTTCAAAGGTCTTTAAAGTCTTTGTAAATAGAGGGTCAGCATATCATCAATATCCTGGAAAGAGGTGATGCATTCATTCTCTAAGACATCCAAAGTATGACATGTTTATAGATAACAGTGTCTATATGGAGGTACATATGAATTTACAATGGGATTATAGATGCAGAAATCTTTCTTTTTTCGTCACATCTATCTCCAATCGTTTCTGGTTTCAACAATTAAGCATCAATAATGAGTCAGCTTTTTTATGTTATTTTGCAGTTAAATGTGAGAAATAGGTCAGCAGCTAGCGAATGTTATGTGAGGACAGAGGTTTGCCTGGAAGGTTACACCTCACTTATTTCACATGAGGATGTTTGCTAACTTCAAATATTCGGTTCATTCTTTTTTTCCTATTTTAAGTTTATGTAGCTTTCAATTAAAACTCGTAGTTCTAGGTTTCCTATTTTTGCTATATCCCATTTCAGAACATTTGATCATCAAATGTACCAGATTAACCGAACAGCTATTTGTAGGCTTTACCGGCCATTTTCTTTCTAATTAAATAATTTTTCATTTCAACAAGAGACAAGCGTTAGAAATATAGAACTTAGCTGTTATGTCGACAAAAAACATAAATATTTTTGACTTGATAGGTCTCATTAATGCCATAAGGGATGACATTTCTGTACTAACACTGCTCGCGGAGGTTCTGTGTCTTTTGGACATGATCGTCAATTCATTTGCGCATACGATATCAACCAAGCCAGTGGACAGCTACACAAGACCCGAGTTCACGGGTACCCCAGACTTTCCTGGTATATTTCTGATTTGTTAGATCTCTCTGAAGATTTTTGACATTGTCATTTTCCGATAGAAAATGGCCCAATGGCTATTGATGCGGGAAGGCATCCAATTCTTGAATCCATACACAGTGAATTCATTGTAAGCATTCCTTTATTTTTTTTCCATAGCTTCATGTTTTGTGGACATTGAAACTATCGGAAGTGATCAAGTGAGTCATTCATGCTTGCAGCCTAACAACGTTTTCCATTCTGAAGCATCTAACATGGTGATAGTCATGGGTCCAAACATGTGAGAGCATCCTTTACGAGTAGTTGATTTCTGTAATTTACCATGCTTAGGTGATCGTCTCCGTTTATATCGGAGAGTCTATATTAATGTGGATCCTTTCTGTTTATGAAAAATTGTCAGGAGTGGGAAAAGCACATATCTTCAGCAAGTTTGTTTAATAGTCATCCTCGCTCAGATTGGCTGCTATATTCCTGCTCGCTTTGCTTCTCTTCGGGTGGTTGATCGCATATTTACCCGGATAGGCACTGGAGACAATCTTGAGTACAATTCCAGCACCGTGAGTATGAAAAATTTCAGAGCTTTATCTTCAGCGGTCAAGCAGCGCACTTTCTGCCAACATGAAATTTCTCTTGCTAATTAATTTATCATTCTGTTGTACGTTTTTTTTGTTTAGTTTTTGATTCTTGGTAGACTCCTATTGAGGTAATTTTTGCCCAATTTTGTAGTCTTGTAACAGGCATCGAATACAAAGAATAACATTGAAGAGGCCTCCTTGCTACAGATATATGCATGCCCATACAAAAATACGACTATGTCTACGTCTATGTCTGAACCACACCCCTCCCACTTCAATACATGCCATGACTTCTCTCAAAGCGAGTTGCACGAACTAGCTTGGGCAGTAGTGCTGAAATTCGTAATCTCGTAGGTTTGCAATCCCTAGAGGTGTCTGGCCGATAACCTCCATAGTTGGAGGTGGGACTAATCCCTAAGCACAGCACATCTTGATTTCGAAAAGAATTGGGGTGGATTATACGGCTCAACCTAAGTCGGACTGTCTTTGAAAAGCATGCTTGTTATCCATGAGATATGGTCTCCTGGTATATAGTTTCGACTTGAGGAACATGTTAGGGCTAATGCAATGATCCCATTCTCACACTTTCTCGTATATCGCTGGATCAGATCATGTCTTTCATCTGAGATGCATAAATCTGTCTGGCCTATATGACTTCCCGGAAAGATACATACGAAGTTATAGGATCCTTATTTCACAACCTCCAGTCAAGAAGTGGATAACAAGAGGTCAGATCAATAATTACCTACCTGTGCTAATGAAGGAAAATAAACACAAGTCCTCATTCATTAGGGTTTTAAAAACTTGCACCGGACCAATTGGAGTTCTATCGACATTCTTCATCCCCCTCAAGTGTTTGCAATGCGTCTCTCCAGAAAATATCCGTTATGTTAATAGATTTCATTTTCTGCAATTCCAAAATACAATTCTGCGTGATGATATTCATCTACCAGGTTTGTAATAAACCATTAGATGGTTAAATATTTATTTTATTATTTTTATTAACTGTTTCGTGCCATTTTGAGACAATTTCATCGAACATTTCTAATGAAGTTCAGTAATTTTTCAAACTAAGAAGAGGAAATTTCATCCTTGCTTGGGCGATTATATTTTTTAGAGACAATAAATAGCTGTCTGATGAATAATTACCTAGTGCTATTGAATATTCTCGTTGCATATAGTGAGCGAATATTTCCAATCCCTATCGTACCCCGTGTCTGTCCGTAAACTGTTAATCGCAAGGCATCATCTTCATGGGAAGATAACTACGAGTGAGCTTTCTGATTCTACAGTTTATGACAGAGATGAAAGAGACGGCCTTCCTCCTGCAGAATGTCTCTCCAAGGTGAATGAGGCTCTTTCAGGTCTCGAGCCCTGTTCGGCTGCCATCCGTTGACCCTCTGAGTAATTTTTTTTCCATGGTCGGAAATAGGAGCCTGATTGTTATGGACGAACTTGGAAGGGCAACGTCGTCCGCTGATGGATACGCCATCGCTTGGAGTTGCTGCGAACATCTGCTCTCTCTTAAAGCGTAATTGCTTTCACTCATGCTCTGTACCTTTTCCTTCTATCATTGTCTTCGAGCCGTCTGATCTCTTCAGGTACACCATCTTCGCCACACACATGGAAGGTCTGTCTGAACTGGCCACGATGTACCCCAACGTGAAGATACTCCATTTCGAGGTCGAGATCAAGAACAACCGTCTGGACTTCAAGGTCTCAAAACCGAAACTACACTTTTTCATCACTGAATCTCATGTTGTTAGACTGTGATTTATCTGGTTATACTCGCCAGTTCCGACTCAAGGATGGGCCGAGACATGTACCGCACTATGGGCTCCTGCTGGCCAGAGTCGCAGGGCTGCCGGGTTCAGTGATTGAGACGGCGAAGAACATCACCCAGAGGATAACCACGAAGGTACCACTCTTACCTTAATTACTGGAGGCTTATTCTAGGAAAAAAAAGTGTTCGTCCTTCGGGATCTCCGCGGGTGGGCAGGAACTGACCCAGATGGAGAACAACTGCGACGAGTACCAATCAGTCCACATGGCGTATCGGGTGGCCCAGAGGCTTCTATGCCTGAAATACTCCAACCAAGACGAGGACGACGTTCGACGGGCCCTTCAGCGTCTCAAGGACATGTACGCCGAGGGGAGACTGGACTAGTAATCACACCAGAGATGGAGAACGGGAGCAGGCCGTGCCGTGCCCTCTCAGGTGAAAGTACTCACCTTTCCGAGCTTTCTTCTTGACGACCGTATCTTATAATAGTAAGAATAATAATAATAACGACCAAGGACGCCACTTCCCTTCTCTTTTATCATATATACCGATCCATCTCTGGTTAAATTGGTGAACCCTGGTTGTGGAAATTTCATCGGGCTCCCATGCTTCGGTCGGTTGCCTTTTTGTGGGGCCCCTCACATCCCCAGTCAACGCCGATGGTAAGTCGCCGTCTCCTAGCCGACGATCTACTCCAGCGGTTTGGTGGCCGCGCGGTGGAGGGCGGCTGGCGAAGATGGTGGCATCGGATCCTCCACGTCGTCTGTCGTATACTTGGAGGGAGAAGACAACAAGGGGGGAGGAGTGCCAGATCCAAACGGCACCGGCCCACCCGCTCATGTCGGGGCTGGAAAGCTGCGACGTGTGCGGCTCAGCCGGCGGCGTCCTCTGCCGCTACAGCCACCCCGAGCTCCGGCTGGCGGCGCCGCCCCCGGTGGCCGCGCTGCGGGAGTTCCATTTCTTCGGGGAGCCAGGCGGCGGGGTTTCCTGGCCCATGGCCGCCGAGGGGGCGGCGAGCCCGCCGGAGACTGCGCCAGAGTGCTCCCCCGCCGTCTCCGCCACGGTGAGTCCCCCCCCCCTCTCCTCTCTATTTATCTCGTCTCCCCAGCGAACAGAAGAGAACAGAAAGTGAAGCGAGAGCTTATATCATGGCAGGCCTTTCCTTTTCCTTTCTTTTCCTCCTAAACTACCCACCCTGATCAAACTATGGAAAATACCGATCGATCAGATGGGCTTGCACACCGAGCGTTGACTGGTTACCCCAGGGATGAGCTGCTCGTCGGAGCTGAGGGCCGGTGCAGTGCTAAAACTTAGTGAAGACGTTAACTTCTCCTAGAAAACCTTCACATTTGAGAGACTCAGGTAGAAAGAAAGCATGAAGACAGAGAGTCATAAAAACCTGAGCAAACGACCGAGTTTAGTATACCCGCCGCTGAAGAGGAGTATTGAAACATTTTGCAGGTGGCGCTCGGCGGCGCCGCCGAGGAGTTCTCAGACTGGGCGGCGGCGCCATCCGGCAAGGTCGAGGAGGACGGCGGCGCGGCGAGAGAGGCCCGGGTGCTGCGGTATAGGGAGAAGAAGAAGCGCCGCCAGTTCGGGAAGCAGATACGGTACGAGTCGAGGAAGGCCTGCGCGGAGACGAGGCCGAGGGTCCGGGGGCGTTTCGCAAGGGCGGCGGTGGCGGCCGACCGACCGACTGTCTCCGGCGCCGGCACGGGCGGCAGCGTCAGATTGGGGTGGGTGGCTCCGCCGGGCATGAACCGAGGCCATTAGCGGCTCATTCGGCTGCGACCCAGATCGTCTATGATGCATGTGGATGGGCCTCGCGGAATTATCTTGCCTGTGTTGGTGACTTTTGGCAGATGTTAGAGCAGTCTCGGATTCCTAGCGAGAAATCCAAAGCTAAGATTGAATGATGGTCCCATTACAGCCCGGGGCAATTTCTCCTGACGTCAGCGTATAAGATTTCCTCATTGGGGTCGTTCGATCTCATTTATGATGAGGCAAATCTGGGGACGGACGAATGGGTCCTCTGCTCAAGTGAGGAGGGAGAGGCGTCGCAGTGGGCCTGGGGCTGCCACCATCCATTTCCGCGCAGAGAGAGAGAGAGAGAGAGAGAGAGAGAGAGAGAGAGAGAGGACCCTCTCTATGAGAGAAAGACACCTTGTGGAGGGGAGTATCCACGGACGAAGTCTCGCCCTTCCCGTAAGAGAGACTTGCAAGGTTAAGCAATGCTCATCAGGATCTTGAACACGATGACAAAGGAAGTAGATGACGGTACAAGAGGAATTAGCTCTCTCTGAACGAAATAAGAGACACCAAGATCGTCAAAGTTTGGTGTAAACTTGCTAAAACCGCTTGATTTTTTGCATGCGGATGAGACTTAACGTCCCTTCGGGAGGCCTCGATAAGCAAAAGAGATACAACACAAATAGCTACCTTATTATCTCCATTAAAGAATATCTAATACATTTTAATCTCCCCCCCACTAGTTGCTTCTCCATAGCGCGCAAGACAAAGGGAATTTCAACCCTCAAGTAATAATAGTGGCCTATCAATCGGAAGCCACCTGGTGTCTCCATCAGCCCGTTAGTCAACATCACTTGCGACCTGTGAAAAAAAGAAGCTTTCTTCTACATCGGCACCCTTCCTGGTGCTCGATTTGATATCTAGAAAATAGTCCGTATTGTGTGTAGAGTATAGAGAGGGATAGAGAGATGGCATTCTGCTTGTTCCGCACTGAACAGAGAATAATCCCTGGAACCCTAGCACGTCGTCGAAGGAATCGAAAACAGAGCCGAGGAAAGATTGATTGCGAGGTTCTCACTGGTCTCAGTTCTCAACTGTTGTTCTTCGTTCGTATCTAAGAACCTTCCCAATGTTATGATGGGCATTCGGAACCCATGGCCATTTTCTATCGGTACTGCTGCCTATTTATTGTTTTCATCATCTTCTTCGTTCTACGCCTATATTGATCGAACAGAAACATCTTAGAGAGCTTCCTCTGAGCTGGTTTCAGTTGGAGTTCTATTGTCCGCTCGAAGGTGGGCCTCCCCGAACGGCGGTTCTTCTGTACCCATCGTCTTGCGGGGATCTAATAATTCCATTTTGATGCGAATGGCTGGCCGACATGTGAAGTAGTTCCCTCGACTTCGCATCTAGGAACCAATGATCATAAAACCGGGGTAGACGTCGGCGAGTAAGACAGATCTCTTGCTTACCGGGGTCCATCTTCCGTCCGTTTCTTTCATCTTTCTTCTACGAGCGCTAATCAGAAAACTCGGAGGAATTCAGGCTCCAGCAAGATTCAGGCTTTCAGCACGGACGCGGCCAGCGCAGACAGCTGAGCGTGCATGTGATTTCATTCTCTGTGCCACGGTGGCGAGGCCCGAGGTGTTTTTCTGTGCCACTAGTCGACTGTGCACGAAGTTCGAATGGTGGGGAATAGGGTTTTACTGAGGAGGGGTTCATTCTATACTATCCGTTCAGTTACTGGGTAATTAGACTTCGCTCGCTCTCTCTCCCTCTCTCTCACTCTGAAGCCCAGGTTGGCCAACCAGATGAAATTCTCTCTCTTTCTCTCTCTCTCTCTCTCTCTCTCGCTCTCTCTCTCTCGCTCTCTCTCTCTCTCTCGCTCTCTCTCTCTCTCTCGCTCTCTCTCTCTCTCTCACTCACTCACTCACTCTCAGAAGCCCAGGCTAGTCAACTAGTTGCAATGCTCTCTCCCTTTCTGGATCCATCAATCTCTGTCTGAGAAGGCACCCCTAAAATAAAGTGAAGAAAGAACCTAGACGATGGTAATAACATGAACCGCATTCCCATCGAGCAGTTGAAGCAGGAAGCCAGCGGTAGAGCTCAGAAAAATCCTAAGAACCAATATCTGGAATGGTGGCGGATCATTCCCGAGTTGCGGCGCTGCCCATCTGGACCCGGGCCCCTCATTTTCATGACACGGTTCATCCCTCCATCCTCCCACTATATAAGAGCCTCATGCCGATTGCAATGCTCCACAGCCCAAGCCTAGAGGAAGCCTCTTCTTCGAACCAAGAGACGTCCCGCTGGCCATGGCTCCCAAAGCCTGCTCCGTCACGGCTCTCCTACTCGCCATAAACCTTCTCTTCCTCTCTATGGCCTCGGCCACGTACGAACCGTGCCCAACTCCGCCGGTCAAGCCACCGCCCATCAAGCCGCCGTGCGGCTCGTGCACTCATCCGCCTGCATCCTGCCCGAAGGACACTCTGAAGCTGGGCGTCTGCGCCGACTTGCTCCACCTGCTGAAGGTGAAGATCGGGAAGCCGCCCAAGTACCCCTGTTGCTCCCTCATCAAGGGACTCGTGGACCTCGAGGCCGCCGTGTGCCTCTGCACGGCCATCAAGGCCAGCATCCTCGGCATCAGCCTTAACGTCCCCGTTGACCTTACCCTGCTTCTCAACTACTGCGGCAAGAAGGTTCCCCAGGGTTTCAAGTGCGTTTGATTCTCCGGGGAATGACGTCGTAGTTTCGTTGTCTCATCTGTCTGGTCTTTGGTTCCTCTGCACTTCACCGACCTCGCTTTCTTTTCTCTCTCTCTCTCTCTCTCTCTCTCTCTCTCTCTCTCTCTCTCTCTCTCTCTCTCTCTCTCTCTCTCTCTTTTCTGCTTGATGTTCTGTATTGTTATCAGTGGCAATGCCGAAAGAGGGAGGTCAATCCTCCATGATCCCCATCGCAATAAATGAAGCCATTGTTCAGTTGAATTCTGAGTAAATAAGAGAAATGGTCCCCCCCCCCCCCCGGCGTATCTACCCAGTCAACCCTGATTATATTCTTCAAGCAAGTAGCCAAGATATCTGGCAAGTAGCAGCCAAGAGCACGGGGCATGACTATATAACATCAAAAAGAACCATATATACGTACAGAAAATGGTATAAACATCCATCGTCTATCTTTCAATCATCATCCTTCGTTGTGATTTTCTAATGAAACTGAAGTTCCAAGATTATGGTTCTTCGTGTAATCCGCGGAGAAAAATTTGCTTCGGGGAGGTGCTGCCTTCTCCGTCTAGCAATACACAGTGACAGAGGCGAACAATCAAAAGAGTTCGAACAAGTAATATCCCCGATGAAAAAAATTATTTATTTTTCTTTACAATCGTTGCACCAACTTACCCAATTTTGACTGACTTGTATGGTTTCTCATCGAAATATTGCTCTCTCTAGCTTGTTGATGTTATAGGGCAGGGTAAATTTTATGCAAGAATTTAATCCCTTGATGCTACTTGCCGAGTACGAATGCTACTCTAGAGCTACAGTTCTCCGTCGAGGTGGGCTGAATTATAAGTCTCCTTTACAACCTGGGTACGAGGTGGGATCCGGGGATAGATTCGCGTGTGAATAGGACCTCGAGATGGCACTGTTTGACGACCCTACTAAATATCGTATATCTTAGTAGATGCTTGGCAGATATTAAAAGGGTGGTGATAGCCTTGGCAAGTCAGTATCGGTCTTCAGTTTTTCTAAACATAGGATTCATTATGAAATCATAAAATAAATATAGGTGAGTCCCATCGCTTCTCGGGGCTAGGATTGGGCATCTGGGTGTGCAGCTAGAAACCCCTCATCACACTGCATTTCCAACTCTCTCTCTCTCTCTCTCTCTCTCTCTCTCTCTCCCACTCTCTTCCACTCTCTCCCTCCCTCTCTCTCTCTCTCCACTCCCTCCCTCACCTCCCCATCTTCTCTTGATGTCGATTGTGGGCTTCATAAGACTATGCTCCGTTGAGATTCCCCCTACTGTATCTTCAAGTAAAAAAAAATAATTTATTTGGGTTGTAATCATCTCAGGTAATGAAAGCAAGGTACTATTTGGCGAGTTTTAACGAGCCTGTTCTATTTTTATATGGACTGTTACAAAGTATCTTATAATACCACGTAATTGAACAAGAAGGCTTATTTTTCTTCGAATTGTTTTATTATACTGTCTTCAGAAATGACCGCTCTCCTTGCCTAACATTCTAATATTGTCAGAGACGACTTTTCATTCTTGTACAGCCAATTCCGATGAAGGATATCAACGTGGTTGACATCCTTGAGATGCTGGCCTCAATATGGCATGCTCAAACGGAGATATTTTAAAGATATGTTCAAAGTTTTAGTCATGAAAACGGAGGTATTCACCAATTTTTTTATTTCTATACGAAATGAAGTACACCAATCTTCATGGTCCCATGTTAGTCATGAACTCAATCAAGAAGAAAGAGTGGAAGGATAACATGAGAGATGCCACAGCAGACAGAAGTAGGATATTGGAAAATCATCCAGCCTTCTGGTGAATTCTCCGATACCCTAGACCTTTTTGGTGTTGTAAGATACAACCTCCCTATTGATGATCAAAAGAACCCAAAAGACAAGTGAAAACAGTTAGCAACCTACCATTTACACCTTCCAAGGCACGATTCTTGGATTCTCTGTGCTATCAATTGATGAAAGACTGTTTAAAGGTCACTTCCCGCAAACTTTAATTAACATAAGAATGTTGAGTGATTTTTCTTGGATTCATATCATAACTCAGAAATAAAAGTGATTTTTCACTTCTCAATTATGGCACTGATTCTTTGACAAAATGGACTCCTGGTTAACCCAATAGTTGACAAAAGAGACCATCTCGTATCTCTACGAAACTGTTAATCGGTATCACTGGTTGAAGACGGCATACTTCTGACGATACTGGAAATTGTTATCAATTGATGCCTCTCTGTCCGTTGTCTGTTTCTCCCTCCAGCACTGTTCTCCTCTCCACGCCCCAAACGGCACACGTTCCCCGCTCAGTTGACGCTCCCATCCCCCCCCCCCCCTCCCTCCTTGTTTCCTGTTTGCGAAAACCCCCAGATCTGTATCCATCAAACTTCTCCGACACATCACCCTCTCTCTCTCTCTATCTTTCTCTCTCTCTCTCTCTCTCTCTCTCTCTCTCTCTCTCTCTCTCTCTCACTACCCCGGAGTTCTGCGTCGGTTTTGGGCAAAGAAAGGGAGAGATGGGGAGTGGGAGATCAGTGCAATGACTGGAAGGAAAGAAGAGAGAGTCGTAACCAAAAAGAAAGAGGGTGGAGAACTGTACGGACCGAAGTGAAGAAGAGAGACGGCCGTCAGTGGGAGGCAGAGGGGAGCAGAGGCAGAAGGGAGAGAGAGAGAGAGAGAGAGAGGAGTATGACGGTAAATGGGTTAGGGTGGGGGAGAGAGAGAATGACAAAGAAAGAGAAAAAGAGAAAGAAAGGGCGAGTTAAAAACTGAGAACCGTCAGCCTTTCAACTGATTGCAGCTTCACTGGAGACCCAGCTACCGAAATAGTTTCTAAAATCTATCATCCCACAGAGAGCACACCTTTTCTGTCGACTTCTCGGGGATTTCATCAGAGATGCTCTTTTAGTGTTGGATTATATCGGGCACTTCCTAGCCAGCTACACCAGACGAATCTCGTTCATATTGAGAAAGAGAGGTGAACCAACGATTCTAACTCAAATTCTGCCTTCGTCCTCTTCTTCTTCTTCCCCTCCGTCGATCTTCGCCGCAAGATGTTAAATTTGAGGTCATTGAAGCACCACGTAAGCCTAAGCTAACCCTTAGTTCCCCACTGGCAACCCTTTCGCCGCCCACCCCCCAGTCCGTCTTCCAGGCCCGTAGGACCCCAGCAGATGCCTCTTCTGACAGGGCAGACCCCCACCCCACGGGCCCCCGGTTTCAAGCCCTTCTTCCCGGGGCTCGTCACTATCACGAAGGTCCCCACGTGGCAGCCACTGAGTGGCATGCAGCTGGCAGAGCCCAGCTGATAGAGAACCAACCATGTACGCCCCCCCCGTCCTGGTAATGTTTCTGTCGCCAAGATTTTTGAGTCCAGACGGGACGAGGATGAGAGTACAGACAGAAGATAGAGGCAGAGGGAGAAGAGGCTTCTCTTAATCGCTCACGTATCCTTAACATTTTAGCATCAAATATATGCGTATAACAACGGGCTATGTGAGTCCAGTATGTCCTGGGGTAAGGTTTCTTGAGTCTGAGCCTCTCTCTCTCGCTCGCTATCTATCTCACTCTTTCTCTCTCCCTCTCTCTATCTATCTATCTATATATATATATATATATCTCCGCGGTAAGAGTGAAAGTTTACCAAACCATAAGTTTCATTGGGCCAATACCGGGGCTCCGTGTTTGTCCTAGTTCGGGAAATCCCTCGGATCAGACTCAAGCCCAGTCCTCGCGGCCTGCCTATTCCTGACTCAGGCTGGGCCAAAGTAACCAGTCCAACCTTGTCAACCGAGAAACAAGTGCTGCTAAAAATAATACCACTCACGTCTCGATCAATCATCTGTGTGACCGTGATGGAACAATGCTCAGTGGTCCCAAATAATAATAGAGTGCCCTACCGTAAAACCTGCCTATCTACACTTCATCGTATTCAGATCCAGGCTCTTAGCATAAGCGCAATACTGATTTTTCAGTAATTTACGCTCGATGGCTTTTCTATAATTATCCGTTAGATAGTAGTTGCTCGTCCGCATTATCTTGGTTCGATATTATGTTTTTTTAGCACCGATTCATTCAAGAGAACATCACAGGGATAAACCAGTCAAACTGGATGGACGGTGGATTTCGTTGTATCAACTCTTTTGTCAACTGGGGGGCGAGTAACCCCCGTACGATGGTGACATCATGACGACCTCGCGAAAGAAAGAAATACATCATATTACTTGACAGGGGGTTTAGTATAGTGAATCCTACGAGTCCAGCTAGCTGTGTTTGTACTGATTAGTTTATTCTGAATCATGAAACGAGAAGATTCAAATCACGTGGACCACTTTCCCATCGTTTGATGGAATATTCAATTATTCTAAACTCCAGAAAATCCGAGTCAAAATCAGAATCCATTAATGAACTCCCCTCGATCTCTCTCTCTCTCTCTCTCTCCGTGCCTCCCTGGATAGCTACCCCAACCTTGCAACGTCGCTCATCGATACGTAGATCATGAAACACGACTGAAGGGGGGTGTCAGCTCGGAGGGCCCTCGTTCGCCGTCTTTTCCCTGCTTGGACAAAAAGAGCAGACGTAAAATGGTGGTCGGAAAGCCCCTGAAGGCTTTTCTGCATCTACCGTCATCGTCCTCATGATCTGTCGGAGCTGAGAAAACCCGAACGCAGTCAAACTTCCGCCGTCGGGACTGTCGGAGCGACGGACGGCGGCTTCGGCCACCAAACACCGGATCAATACCCGGGGGCGAAGGATGCCCATTTCCCCGTCTTAGTTTCGCTCTTGACTGGGAACCTCGTGAATCTTAAATTTTACATTAAGTTTCCTCCCTGTTTCCTGAAATTTGCATCTTTGTCCTTGAAGGCTTGTTACCCCGGTTGGGTTACCCACGCTAATGACACGATAGGAATGTATATTTTCTATTTAGTTCAATTAGTATCATAAATATTGGCAGATTATGATTTCCCATCCCCCTCGGAGAGCATGATCAATGGATGTAGTACATGTTCTGTCTTTCCCAGAAGATCTTAAGAAGGCAGCGCTCGACTGTTGGAATAGCGCTGCGAGAGCTTATCTAATGCGATATATTATTGATGAAGGAATGCAGAGATTCAGTAACAGTATGAATCAAACCCATGCAGATTACATACTTTTCAATCCCTCTACTAATGATGAAGATGACGAGATGTCACGAAGATCCAACCCATCTCCTGTCGCGAGACTGCCCACCTTCGGGCAGCTGCACCAGCGAGAGAAACAAACAAACATACAGACAAACGCGGTGCAACCAAGAACCGCGCTTGGATTCTTGACAGAGAGGGAGAGAAGTACAAAGAGAAACGTGTAGGGGAAAGCACGCGGGGAACGGCAGGCTTCTCAAGGGCAGATGAAGCCGGTGGGGACTGACTTCCCACAGTAGTTGACCAGCAAGCTGAGGTTGATGGGCAGGTTGAGACTGATGAGCCCGAGGACGTTGGCCTTGAGGACGGTGCAGAGGCAAACTGCGGCCTCGAGGTCAGCCAGCCCCTTAATTAGGCTGCAGCAAGGCTCCTTCGGCGGGGTGCCGAGCTGAATGTTGAGCAGGCCATTAAGAACGTTGACGCAGACGCCGAGCTTGAGGGCATCAATGGGGCACTTGCCCCCGAAGGGAATCGGCGTCTTCGGGGTCGGGAACGGCTTGGGCTTGGGCTTGGGCTTGTGCGGCGAGGGGCAGTTCCCGGCACTGACCAGGGAAAAGAAGAGCAGGTTCAGGGCGAGGAAGAGGGCTGCTGATGACTGCATCTTGGAGGCCATGACAACACACTACGGTTCCTTACTGTTGCACCACTACGGAGTGTATTGCAAAGGCCTCGGATTTGGTATCTGAGGAGAGCAGCACTCTACATTTATATAGGAGTAGAAGAAGAGAGAGGGGACCGAGGAGGGGTAGAGCCGGTTATTTCTAGAGCGAGAAGGAAGAAGCCAGTTGTACGTCCGTGTGGGCTAGGGCAGCCGGGAGGTTCTCCCGCCATGTGCATGAGGGGGGCCCAGGGGAGGGGGGGCTTGTAGCTGGCAAGGAGGAAGAGAGGGCCGGATAGGTCGATTCCTTTGGAGGATTGCGCCTTCGGTGGGAGGAAGCGAACAAATTTGCTTCCCTGGCTTGGTCCAATCGCATCCACCATAGAAAATATCACTGCACCACACCGCATCCCACCTTCCCCCTCCCGCGTCGGTTTCTCATTCTCCGTAACTACTGCATGTTGAAAAGGTCATCCATAAATTGATGGATAATGAATAAATAAAATCTGCGTAAAAAAGTGGTCTAAGAGTGTTCAAATATTGAACTACATGATTCTCACGGAGCACAAGATTCATACGGGACGTCTAGATTTGTTCAGAAATGTAGTTATATGGAGTAAATTGACTATCCTTCAACACAAGATACAAGTTGAGAGCCGGTTCTCACGTGGGTAATCCCCTTCCTACCTGGTACTAGGATAGAAACCAACTCTGTCAACTCAGTTCTCACAGCATACGTACTCCGTTAGCTGGTTAATAACTCTTCGAGTAGCGGACATGATGCATTCGGTTGCCACTCTGGCGATCAGAGCGACAACGATGAAAAAGTGTCTTTTTTCGACATCTGCACTCCCCACCCAAAGTCCCCCATTTCCTCCAACACCTGGCATCCGGGGGCAACCATAAACAGGTCATCTCTCTCTCTCTCTCTCTCTCTCTCTCTCAATCACTCGTTCCTTCTAAAAACTTTCTCGTCTGTCCGCCCGTGGATCCCTGTTACTTTCCGTTGGCTGGAGCGGTGGAGACCAAGATGAATTGCAGAATGTCTTTTGGCATCTCCCGACGTGTTTTGTGTTTTTTCTCGCAGCAACACAGGGGACCTTCGCGAGGATACATGTGAGGAGTTTACGTTGCGAAGTTCGTGGCTAACGTCTCCTAGAGGAAGACGATGGGGAGCATGTGGCCTAAGACCCCGCCATCGAATAGGGTTCTCGGGGTGATAAGAGGAGAGCTAGAGAGGGAATATGCACTAGCTATTTCAAGAAACGGGTGAAAGATAAATATGAATCTACAATTTTGAAAATAAAACTAAAATATTAATGAGAAAAAAACTGAGTCTTCCTTTTTTGGTCGAGTATGATACAACTCCGAAGAATTCAGCTTTAAATCCTTATTTCAGGTATATTAGCGAATTTATTTACACCTTCAAAGCCGATTTGAACATTATAACCACGCGAATGATAAAATTAAATTAAATTCTCTGTACTTGAAATCTAGACCAGGTACGTCTGAAAGCATGCAGCCAATTCCTGACTTGAGTTACATGACTGCGCTGTCGCGAGTCAAAGGCCTTAGGACAGCAGTTTGGAATCATCTGACAAAAGGAGGTGAACTCGCAGCCATCATTGACCGTAAAATCAAAGAGGTGTCGGCCAACACAAAATTGGGAGGATAATAAGGGAATATTGTTCAATAGGTCCTTTGATGCAAGAACTCTCTTGAATGGCAAACCAAATGACATTAAAAAAAATCAATAAAAATCTGTTTTAGTAATTTTAACTCGTGATAAAAAATAGAGTCTGAGTCATTAACAATGAAAAAATGGGCAAAGCCACTACAATCACTAAAAACATTATTTAAGAGAAACTATTCTACAGTTTACTTGTTTTGTGTCAATTAGATGTAACTAAATCGATCTTAAGAAAACTTTAAATTAAAATATTAGAATAAAAAATGAATATTTGAAAAATTTTAGGATACATGAGATTTACAGTACTTCCAAGTGTAATATTTACAAATATTTAGCAGCCAATCTTCTAGCTTCCATTTATCACTAGATTTCTTGGTTCTTCCGTATATTATATGGTTGATAGGTACGTTCATCCCACCCACTTCTAATTTACTCTAAAACTAGAAATTTTGGAACAAGATTAGATTTATTCCACATTTTTCAACTTATTCTAGGTTCAATGCTCTACTAATGAATGTGTGATCAATATTCTAAAATACTTTAGTCATTAAATTGGCTCTCATTTTGGATGATAATTGGGCCCCGTGTAAATTTCGTTTTATAAGACACATGCAAGTCAACCATTTGTTACTTCCATCGGATATCTCTTGGGCTAGGTATTAGAAAATGATTGTACGTGATTTGGATGAGCTTGATTGGGATTGTCTGAATTATACGTGGCTTCAAGTGGTTGGTTTCTGGGAGATCCTTCCTGGTCCACATGATCCAACTGGCAATGTAGATTAGGTTCATGGGATATGAGCGGTGGCAATCAGAAGTATCCGCTACAACCACCAACCGATTTAGCAACTCACTCTATAAAGGGGGGTGTCGCGTAAAGTTTTAAATGGCTTCACTTACGGAGCTTTAATTCGATAATCTCGTGCGGTTCTCATTAAAATGATTAGGTCTATCTTGAAGCGATTTTGGATCAGTTAAGGCTGTCTCGATGCCACTCACTAAATGTTTATGAGTCGCTCTGAAAGCGATCTCCAGCTTGGGAGCTGCTCTCAGAGAGACCTCAACTTTGACCCAACCTCTTTCATCTCCTCCAACTCCAGAGGGAGGACATTCTCGCCATGGATAATTGTTTTCAGAAGAGGTTATTGTTCGGAGAACAGGAAATGTAAGAGTTTTTTAGTAATATAGCAGGATAATTTCTGCTCTTGATTTTCGTGAAATTGATAAAGTTTTCTGAGAAAATGATGTAAATATGTGATCCAACTTTTTCCACTATGACTGCTCGCAACAATTTCTTCTTCTTGGGACCTAGGTAGCACTCGACGGCTGAAATGGCCACCTGCAGGGCCTTCATTGCTTTCCCTCGTCCCACAGCTCTCTCCCTTTCTCTCCTCTCCCCCACTACGTCGGTGAAGATTGGAGGAGGTTCGCGGGTGGTGGCCGTGGCGTGGCTTGGCGTGCCAGCTCTGAACAGAAAGGGAAAGGGCGGAGATGGGGAGGATTTAGAAGGGATTGAAAAACGTGAAAGAGGAGACAGGCTAGTGCAGGAAGAGAGATCAGGAGAGGGGAGCAAAAGAGGACGAGCGGCAGAGAGTGAGGGGAAAGAGGGGATGAAAGTGAGCAGGGGAGGCGACCGGCTGACGGAGAGAGGGAGATAGAGGAGAGCTGCAGGATTTTCCATCTCAAAGGATCCTTCTTTCAAAGCCTAGGCTTTCATCAAATCCACTGCTGCACAAGCCTTCATCTCGTTGAGAACAATCTCAGGGATCCTGGGCAAGAAAACTGTGAAGGTAACATGCACCCACCAACCGTCATAAATGTTGGCCCCTGCTTTTATGCATGACCGCGGACGGACAGATCAATGCTTCTAACTCTGTGTCCTGGTTTCTGTAGCACACAGCACGAGTGTCCTTTCTGAGCATTAACTTTGGCATCTGAATTTAATTCTGTTCCCCAAGAACGGCCAAAGTAGCCCCTTTTTAATTAATACTAAAGGAAAATATGTTATTATAAGCGTATATCTACTATAATTTTAAGCTTCATGCCACAATAAGCTCAATAGGAACCAAGCCAGTTGAGTCTTTCCATCCACTCACATAGTATTATTTTGGAAGGAGATACTTTCAAGAGAGATGCCTTCAGTTTTTGTTCGAAGTGAAAGTCAAGAGAAACCTCCATTGGAGCAACCAAAGGTTCCTCTAGGTGGTCTTTCACCAAGAAAGCTTGATGGTGATAGAGTAGCCCCAGGACTTTTTGATATCATTCGTACTAATTATTTTCAATGAAAGGAAATTTCAAGCATAATATTTGCATCCATTATTATAAAAGTAAATCTATAATTATAAAGATGTGATGACATCGCCCAAACCTCCCTGCCCCCCCCCCCCGTTTAACTGTGAGTAAGACAATCTAATAGATTTAACATGATATCAGAAACAATGGTTGTTCTAGGATTGCTTGCACCATATTTATGAATTGATAATAATCTGATATTAGTTAATACTAAGATAAATCAGTAACCTTAAAAATGTACTTTTTTTACTCAAAGCTTATGGTTTTGGGTTGGTTGACTTAGCTCTGCACCACATGAGAACGTTTGATAGGCTCATATCCTTACTTCCTCTTCCTCCATGGGAGGAGTAGCAGTAGTGGCTGTTGTTCTTGTTGGCACTGAGGGGGAGCTACGCTCGTAGTCGTCATTCGCCGGACTTTGTCAGATATGTTGGGTTTGTCCAACCAACATTCGTCGGGTCAGAAACCCTGGCGGTGCAGCCGATAGCCGCCTCTCGATGCCATTCCAGGAAGGATGCTCCTGTTCTCCGCTCGTTCCTTCAAGGCTTCGGCCTTATCGGACACCCTCGTCGGAGCGAAGGATGATGAGGTGCCAGAGAAGAGACAAAGAGGATCACCTCTGGGGTGGATGATGCAGAAGCCGTCATCAAGAGGGCCTGTGCAAACCTTGATTTTCTCTCTCTTTCTCGAAATCTTCTACGATGATGGTTGTGATTGACCCGAAAAGTCGTTTATCAACTGCGTCACGGTCCACGATCTATGACACCAAGAAATTCATATTTGGATTCTTAGGTTCCAAATTCCTTAGAATCATAAATCAGATTTAGATTCAGAAATAGTAAATCATGTGTATAATCTCTTTTAATCTGTCGTCGTATTATTAGCGTGCACTGACAAAGACCGGATCTAAAATGTAGTAGGAGTGGAGTTCATGGACACATCCATACTTTGATACACAGGTCAATGCTCAAAGCTTCTTTGTGGGCAATCTAAAACTTATTGGACCTCTTATTATGGTCAAAACGCATTAAATTTTTATTAGCCAAGGTTAGAAATTGGCCAGCTCTATTCCCATGTAAGGATACAAATTTTTCAGGAGACACAATTAGCAATAATAGGCATAAGACTTCCCCATTTTTTTAATTCAAAATTTGGAGATCTTTTGTACCATTCTTCAGCTTGGTTCTATGATGATGATGCTGTGTTATTTTATTCAACGTGTTTAGTAGTCACTACTGTTGGAGCATTAATTAAATAAAACTATAATGATGATAAATACTCACATGATAAATAATACATCGAATTATGATAGTTGCTTACCACACATGAATTAGACAAATTTATTTTAAAAATGAATTAATTAGGTTCAAAATTCGTAAAGAATACAAAAGAATGATTTTAAATATTTAAATTAAAATTCAAGGCAGGTATTTGAGTCCTATATTCATGAAATATGAATGGTTTTTTTTGTTGAAATTATTAATTTATTATTATTATTATGGAAAATGTAATACTTATAAAAATTACAATTGACTGAAAGCAATACTAACGCTTCAGATTTATCAAGAATTATTGAAGTAAAATATATTTATAAAATATTATCCAATGTACTAAATGTTTATGATGCGAGATCAATATTTTTCATTATTCTAGATGTTGAACTAATCAATTAAATCCGACTTATTGAAATTTCTGCCCAAAAGTTTCATAATATTGATGAATATTAATTTAAAAATAAGTTAAAATTTTATAAGTCACTAAAGTTATGATGATTCACACTGAAATTAGATTCAATGTGTCTACTTTTTTTTTCCTTCTTTGAGTTGATTTGGATTAAGTTTGAATGACAAAATATTAAAGTTACAATTTTATATACTTTAATAATGCATGGATAATTTTTTCTATAATTAGTGTCCCAAAATCAGCCCAAGGAAGTGGACAAGCATGGCCTGCTAAGAAGTAGCCCACGTAATCCTGCACCTTTAGTTCAATAACATAATCATAAAGGGTTGGCCTAAAAACTTGGAGGTTCAGCCTCATATTCAAACCAAATGGAGGCAATCCAATAAGTAATGAACTAGTGAAGCCCAATTCGCTGTGCAGCCCTAAGCTGAAAAAGCCATTGATGCCTAGAATTGTAGTGTGACCCATCACAATTAGTCATTGAGGCCTAATAAGGAGAGTGACCCAATCTCGACAAGCTATTACACAAGACAACCCAGCCCACTAAGCCCAAACACAACAGAAGGCTTCTTGTTCAAATTAAGGCATGAAAAAACAAAGAAATTTTAAAGAGAGAAATCAAGATTACAATGCACATGAATCTTCCCCTCTTCTTCATCTATCTATAACTTGAATAGAGTGAACTTTGAAGCTCTTGAACATGCATCTCAACAACACGTGGTGTCCTCATATTTTCTTAGTTGTTCTATGCATTCTCATAGATGGCTTCTCACTCATTGCTATGTGGAGGTGGTAGCTCATTGTTCTATGCATTATCGATATAGATCGAGAATAAATTCAATTTAATACTTTTAAATTTTATAAAATAAATATTCTTTAATGGGTGGACCACATTTTAACTTTTCTAAAAATGGTAACATTTCAAAGAGCAAAGGAATTTGAAATTTTTGAAGAGGAGAAGAGGTTTGACGTGCTCTTGGAAAGAACTATGCTGGAGATGGTGGGATGAGTAGTGGAGGAGTAGTCAAAATGCTGTACGAGGAGATGGCATCAGAGGCATTGCTTGTGGGTTGTTGGACCTCTTCATTTGAGAATGGCCGGATCTCTTTGCCCTATTGTATATACCTAATGTTGTAGTTGTCTCTATATCAAAGTAGATATCCTTCTCCATGTTAAAGGATGTTGTGCTTTTCCAATAAAGGTTGACTATTTATCATAAAATTTTCCCCAGTAATCTACTCTAGAACCAAGGTTGAAAGCCTGTATGCCATCTTAAAGAAGCAAATATTATTATAGTATAATGCCCCCAATCCATCCCCTACCCCTTCTTATCTCCCTCTCCCTCTCTTCCTCTCTCCTTCTCTTCCTCTCTTCCTCTCTCCCTCTCTCCTTCTCTCCTTCTCTCCTTCTCTTTCTCTCCGTCTCTCTCCCTCTCTCCCTCCTTCTCTTCCTCTCTCCCTCTCTCCCTCCATCTCTCCCTCTCTCCCTCTCTCCCTCTCTCCCTCCATCTCTTCCTCTCTCTCTCTTTATCTCTCCGTCTCTCTCTCTCTCCCTCTCTCCCTCTCTCCCTCCATCTCTTCCTCTCTCTCTCTCTCTCTCTCTCTGTGTTTCTGGGCTAATTAGGCTGCTATGTGACATCAGGCAAAGCGAAAATATCTAGGCCTAATGGGCCTCCCTGTCCGTCAGCGAGGGCAGCGGGCCGTCGAGGGTATGATTTGCTGGCCAAAATATCCATTCATCGGGATCATCGGAAGTGGATATAGACAATTTCTATTGCCATAAATACCCCTAACTTCACGGTTACACCTATGAGCTGTAGCAGGATCTGCTCAGTGGTTATTTAGTCATTCATGTTCTAAGCCAGTCTACCTAAAGTCGGGCTCCTCTCCTCTCTCTCTCTCTCTCTCTTCTCGCCAGTGGAGCTGCTGCTGCTTCTGCAACTGTGGCAATGTCCACCTCGCTGCGTTCGCCGTCCTCTGCATTGTTTACCTCTCCCCTTCAGGTTACCCGCCTCTCTCTTTGCCGGTGCATGCTCGTAGATCGATATCTATCATTTGTTTCCCCCGTGGATTCGCTGACGAATCTTCCACCGATGAGTGGACATTTGAATTATTGACTGGAATCCGAGCAGGCGAGGAGGAGCACCTTGCCGAGACCATCGCCGCCGTCCTTTTTCCTCCAACTCCGCAAGTCCTTTCCGATAATCAGGGCCTCCACAGCTGGGAACGCGTCATCGGTTGGTACCGGTGGGTGGTGATTTCGTCTTCTGGTTCTCTGGTTTCTGGATTTTCGTTCTTTCTCTCTTTCCATTTTTGTAATGAATATATTTTTTACGTGTTGTTGCGAGATCCAGAATTAAGCACCGAATTGGACGCTGTATCGGCATTCAGCGAGATTGTTCCAGATACCGTCATCTTCGACGACTTCGAGAGGCAATCTTCTGCGTTTTATTTTTTTCCTTCTATTTTTCCATTTCATCTGCTTCATAGTTAGTGAAAAGTGAACAGCGGCCTCCGTTTCACTTACTTACGTGCTATGTAGGTTTCCTCCAACTGCTGCCACGGTTAGCTCGTCACTGATTCTTGGAATCTCTGGCCTTCCTGACACTAAGTTTAAGGTGAGGAAAGATGGAATCGGGTATTCATCTGATAAAGACACATGCATGTTGCCTTTTTCTTGTTTTTACATTTTTTGGATTATGAGCTTACTATTGGGAGACGGTTGACGAGAGGAAAGTTGTGCTGTAGAGTGCTATTGAGACTGCTCTGGCTGATGGTGAATGCTATGGACAAGAGGATCCCCAAACCCGGTTGTCCTGCTTTTTTAATAAGGTTTTTTTTTGTAATTTATCGTTAATCCTGGGTTGCAACTAATTATTCAGTTGTTTTCTTGGGTTCCTCTTGACCTCATGCTTTGCATCCTGTAATGCAGGCTTTGGTGAATGTTGGAGCAGATTTAGCAAGACTTGTCCCTGGTCGGGTCTCTACCGAGGTTGATGCTCGTTTAGCATATGACACTGACGCAATCGTTGGAAAGGTATCAGAACCTGTACTCAGATGAATTCCACTTGCTTAATGAATTTAAGAATATGTGTTGACATTATGCTTTGTCGGCTGTTTCTGTTGTTTATTAACTCTTTATCTTGTTGGTATTGAATAACATAACTTTTTAACAGAAAAGTTTTAGTTCACCTGTGTCCCGTGTGGGATAACAGAAATTTTTAACCATGACAGCTGATCCAAGTCATCATGTCACTGAATTTTTAGTTCAAAGAGAAATCATGTGGTAGCACACAGAAGAGAGTATGACATGCCCTTTTGCTGGATTTCTTTGCAAGTGGATGATGTCTGATATGTTAAAAGAAGATTATGAGGATGTATGCCTTTTTTTATTAGTTTGCAGCATAGATTAATCTTCCTTTTGCTAAGGCCCAAGAAACTGGCGACCATGCAGATGAACCCGAAGAGGATTGACGTCCTTGATGTGAGTCAGATGGTTTCCACGACAGGATTCATTTTGAGCACCAATCCCTGGGTGAAACGACAGGATTCATTCTGAGTTCATAGTGGACTAATCAAAATGGGCTTCATGAGAGAACTGATTTTCTGCATTCACCCTTTGGTGAAGTGTTTATTTTCATCTTGGTGCTCCCACGCCCTAATGGCCGTCTAAACTTCATTGTCTACCATTGTAAATCCTAGGACGCACACTTAATTACTGAATTTGTAAATTAACTATTATCTTAACGTATGCCTTTAATGTGGGGGTTTGATCTAACAGTTTTGTCAAAGGGACAACATGCATGGACTTTACAGCTTGTTCGTAACTTTCTATCTGATTGCTACCTTTTGTGAACTAAGAAAAGTTTACATTATAGTCCAAGCCTACCTTTGAAGTACGATTTATCTTATTTTGATGTTTGTTATCACCTGTGTATTTCCTCTTCAGATACTGCTAAAGGGAGAAAGAAAGTAGAAAACCGCCTCGTCTTTGGATTTATTGCACACGTTAGCCAAAACTCCAGCCTCCACACCTTTCTTTGCATTTTTATTTCTATAAACTGTGCTGCCCTCTTAATCCTATTCTTGAGTCTTGGCATGAAATACTGCTGATAACTGCTATTTGCGTGATTTTTGAATTTTTTTTAGGATATGAACTATGTACTTCATGGATAAAGAACTAGAGAAATGGAACAACGTTCATGGTAATATCAATAAATGAGATTCACTTCTGGTGGTGTGATTGGAGATTTCTGTATAACTTTCCAGGTGCACGAACTGGTAAAGTTATATGCTGAAGTAGAGGTTTCACGAGACCGTCTTCTCTTCAAAATTCCTTCAACTTGGCAAGTAAGAAATATGACTAAGAGAAAACAGAAAGAGATACTTCGTTTTCCATTCACATAATTTGTTTTATTTTTCTTGCGTAAGGGTATCGAAGCTTCTAGGCTGCTGGAATCCGAGGGCATACAAACACACTTGACTTTTGTGTATAGGTACTCGTGTTTCCTTATTCTGCTGTTGATGGTTCCGATGTTTCTCGGTTGTGTTGTGCGGCTATGTTCTTGATTATGCCATTCAACGAACTATACAATTCCTGCGTTTCTTAGAACATATAGCATATCTTAGAACTTCTACTATTGTTAAAAGAAAGCACGGACAGAGCTTCTCTTCCCGGTTTCGATTGAACACGCCTTCCAAAATAAACACATTTCAATCCTTCTTATTGGAGTTGTATTGGATTTTCAGAGATACTTACCTGGGTTTTGCATTATTTCATCTTGTTTCACTCTTGTACTTCGTTCGTTCCTGGATGTGTGCAGATAGACCTATAAAATTATCCACCTATTTGTGTGCTTTCATTTTCACTATGAACGGCTATTGAAAATCATGAAGAAATTCCGTCTGTTTCATCCCATTGAGTGCTTCCGCACTCGTGAATTGGTTGAGGTTATAATGTACGATTAGAATGGCTTCGGAATCCTTCAAGAGAATGATCTTTGTTCCATTTTCTTTACACTTTAGTGTCTCATGACTGATTTTCTCGCTCATATCCCACTTCTGTTGTGTTAAAATACGGATCTAATGTGCGAAATACATGAAAATAAATACTATAATTAGAAGAGCTATAACTTTCCCTGCTTCTGCTTTGATCTTGTTTATTATTTAGTTTTGGCGTGTTATGTTATTTATACATGTTGAGAATATTCTCACCTTCGTAGGTGAGATGAAGAATAAAATAGGAAGAGAAAGTGATTTCATTTTAACAAGTGAAAATCATCCCTCGTCCGTCAGTGCTACATATTCGGCCAAAAGATTTCATGCACACAGATGAATTGCTGAGCTATCAGCAATTCAAGAGACTTTCTCTGGTAGATGATGATGTCTTTAGAGTATCAGAAAATGCCTTGCGTTGAGAAATCTCGGTATAGAGTCAAGAGGCTTATTCCCCGGCTCTCTGATCGTCTTACTTTGCAGCTTCCCTCAAGCCGCGGCTGCTGCTCAGGCTGGGGCTTCTGTCATCCAGATTTTCGTTGGCCGAGTCAGGGTACAATCTTCTACTGATTTTTTTATTTAATCAATACATCAAAAATAGATATTATAAGAAGAGAAAGTTAGAACAGGATTGGGCTCGCACTCACTCTGGAGATCCTGAGATTGAGGCTGCACGCAAGAAAGGAGATGATCCTGGACTGTCCTTGGTAAGTTATTTGCTTTCATGCAGGATGTTTTTGTTCGTGCTCTTGGTCAGAACCTCCCTGCTATCTATGATTGATTGATTAATTAAGTTTACGAGTCAATTATTATCTATTAAAGAGTTTTGATGATCAAGGCTTCCGAGCTTCGGTTTCATAGGAACATGACCAGAAATGGAAAATTAACTTTGAAAATTAAGATGATCGGTGCATTGGATACGATATCTTTTCCTGAGCCGGCACCATTCCCAAGTCAGCTTGACTTTTTTAAGGGAGATTACTTACACATTCAGGTGACCAAAACGTACAATTACATCCACAAATACGGGCATAAGTCAAAGCTGATGGCGGCAGCCGTCCGCAACAAGCAGGACGTATTCAGCCTCCTGGGGTAAGTTTCTTGCTGCTTCCGGTAATGTCTTCATCTGGGTCATCAGTGTAACTTTGTCCGGCCTTCAGGGTTGACTATATCATTGCACCCCTGAAGATTCTGCAGTCGCTGAAGGAATCTGTTACCTATCCCGACGAAAAGTACTCCTTTGTGAGACGATTGTCCCCGAGCTCTGCCAAGATCTACGATTTCACCGACGAAGAGGTAACACTCAGCCCTGGTTGCATGAAATCCCCCGTTCTCTTACATTTATGATGTCATAAATCTATGAGTGAGAGAGAGAGAGAGCCACCCAGATCTCCCTCCCTCCCTCCCTCTCTCTCTCTCTCTCTCTCGCTACCTCCCATTCGCGATTGCATGAAATACGTCATTCCCTTCCATTTATGATGTCATAAATATATGAAGAGAGAGAGAGAGAGCCACCTCTCTTTCTCTCTTTCGGTGAGAGAAGGTGAGATCTGGGTGGAGAGCTGTCGATTGAAAACTCATGATCTGAGCGTGGATGCAGCTGGTGAAGTGGAACCAGCTGAGCTTCGCGTCGGCGATGGGGCCCGCGGCGGAGGAACTCCTCTCCACGGGGTTGGAAGGCTACGTGGCGCAGACGAAGAGGGTGGAGGAGTTCCTGGGGAAGATCTGGCCGCCGCCAAATGTCTAAGTTTTCTTCATCTCCTCCTCGGGGTCTGACGTCGCGCAGAAATAAAACGGGACCCGGCGCTGGTCCCATATGGACAGCTGTAGGTAAATGCGGCATCCAAGTGGGGTCGTATGCACGTGTCCAGGTCGGTGGAATGATGAGGCTCTCTGGCACACTGGACGTGAACCTCGGGTGCACGTTAATCTCGGGAGTAGTGACCCTGAACGTGGACGTAATTTCGAATGGTTTTTACGGCTCCGGACGCCAGGTTGTCCCTTTGGCTGGTGCGCTAAACGGGCCAGGCCTATGCGGTTCGGGCTCAACCAGGGCCCGAAAATTCAAGCCACCACCCGGAAGGGAAGCGAAGAAAAATGAAAGAGGGAGTATGACCCATCAAATCTACCAGATCCAGATCCAGATCCCGCCATCTCAGCCGTCGGAGGCTAATTGAGCATACTAGGGGGGGGGGACCAACTCTGTAGTGGGCCCACCTCGGCGATCCCTCCCCGACAGCTCTCTCCCTGCGATCCACCTCCCGCGGCACGTGCGAGACAGCCGTGGCGGACAGGGGACGCGGTTCCCGCCACCTCACGCCCCTGCGTCGCTTCCGTACGTTGCGCTTGATATACATATGGTAGAGACCCAGAGAGGTCGTGACAACATCATGATGCCACGTCGGACGAGAGGCTATGGCTACACGTAATGGGGCCACATGCCCGTTAGATCCTGTCGCTCTTCTGGCAACGAGCTGTCCTCCTCTCTCTCTCTCTCTCTCTCTATCTCTCTATCTTCCCCAGTTCGGCAGTCCTAACTGTCTGCGAGACCGACGGGTTGAAGATTACAGAGAATTTAATGCTTAATTATTTGCTGCTAATTTCTCGCGCCACCCTTTTTTTAGGGTCCTCTCCGGTAGCCCTAGCGTGATCCCCGGAAGTTGGAGCAGCTGCAGCAGCCGCAGCAGTGGGGTGGTACGATTCTCCACAGCCAGCTTCCTGCGACAGTCCTCGCTATGGCAATGAGGTAGAAGGAGTGCGGGAAGGCGCGGCTTGGGCTACCATATTCGGTTCGGGCTTGTTCTGCTGAGTGGCGGTGCTTCTCCGTTCGGCATTGTGGTATCAGCGGCTGTGTTTGTCGGCATTTTGGTCTGGACCGAGAAGAATGGCGGGTCGGCAGTCCGTCAACCTGGCGGCGGCGGTGGTCTTGGGGCTTGTGTGCATCTCCCTGCTTGTGGGGCTCTGCAGGGCCGAGGATCCGGTCGTCTTCTTCGACTGGGACGTCTCCTACATCACCGCCGCTCCACTGGGCGTCAAGCAGCAGGTGCATCTACTTACCACTTTCAGATCTCCCTCTCTGGATCTACATTCTTCGTCACGACTTCTTCACGTTCCGATGCGATGGTTTTCCTGAACTCTGTGATCGTTGACTCGGTCTTCGTCTTCTTTATCCCACCTTTTCGTTCCTATTTCCTGCTCATTTCTAATTTTCTTTTCCTGCTATGTTTTTGTCGCCTGATTTTGTCCTCGATGTCGTTCTCCACTGGCATCTCGCATAGCAGATCTGTGATCTGCAATGGATTAAAAGCCTATACCGCGTTTAAGACCACCTATACCGCGTTTGGCTTCGATGCGACCACCAACTTTTTGCGCTATCTACCTTTTCTGGCCAGCGTTAGATGACGTTGACGCCAGCTTTGCCGCCCCAATGGGAGCCATGTGGTCGCATTGACTCTCTCTACCTTACTTATTTATGTTTTCTTTACGATCGATTAAATTATTTGCAGTGTAATCTCTGCTTCTGCCTTTCAAATTCTCTTGATCCCTCGCGGCCTTGTCACCTTGCTTGATTGATTTCAGGTGATCGCCATCAATGGTCAGTTTCCTGGTCCCATCGTGAACGTCACCACGAATTACAACCTGGTTGTGAACGTGCAGAATGATCTCGATGAGCCTCTTCTCATAACCTGGTATATTAACTTTTTTAAATCTCGTTTGACGATGTGATCATCCTCTCTGAGATTTATTGACATTTTGCTGGTTAATAGGGATGGGATTCAGCACCGGAAGAATTCTTGGCAGGACGGCGTGCTAGGGACGAATTGCCCAATTCCTTCGGGTTGGAACTGGACTTATCAGTTCCAGGTGAAGGACCAGATTGGGAGTTTCTTCTATTTTCCTTCTATCAACCTTCAAAGGGCTGCTGGAGGTTATGGTGGGATTATTGTGAACAACAGGCAAGTTATCGCTGTACCCTTTGGTAAACCTGATGGGGACATTACCATCTTCGTTGGTGACTGGTACAACAGAAACCACACGGTCAGTTGGGCTTCTATTTTTGCCATTTCCTGTCACTGCTTATCTGATGAATTTTTTAAATGTATATGTAATTATTTTGAAATTATTCCGTTATTCAGGATTTAAGGAAGGCCCTTGACAATGGGAAGGACCTCGGGATGCCAGATGGTGTTCTGATTAATGGAAAGGGGCCTTATCGATACAACACGACTCTTGTTCCAGATGGCATTGACTACGAAACTATTAATGTTCATCCAGGTAGCTTACTCTTTTGTGCTGATTTTCATTCCCTTCTCTTTTGAATCCCATGGCTTTTTACCGCCCCTTGGTTGTAAAATCTGGGAAAATATATGCCTTTATTACCATATAATCAGAACTATTATGCTAATGATGTCAATTAATTTAAAAACTCCTGCAAAACTTGAAAGACTTGTGTCCTGGTACCTCTTGATGGGCTACTAGATCAGCCAAATGGAAGTTCTGGAGCTTAGATAGAAAGGTTGTATTGCAGGACCGAACTAAAATTCATCTGTCAGGGGAAATGGCCCTGTGAGTAGCTAATCTTTGACCTCCACATCTGCTTCTGTTTGAAACTGGTTTTGCGTCGTTCATAGTACACGTGCGCCATTCAGACAAGATAGTGCTTTTCTCTTTGCCTTTCTCTCTTTTTGTCGACTTTGGATCTCCAAGCCAAGGGGTTTTATTCTCTTAGGAAAACAGGGTAGAAGTAAGGTGCCTTTTCCCATTCTGATGTCTTGATACTTGCTGCTTGTTATGAACGAACAAAGCATTTGTTTACTTGTCTGATTTACCGCCATTCAAACAGGGAAAACTTATCGCATTCGTGTGCACAATGTGGGAGTTTCTACCAGCCTGAATTTCAGAATTCAGAACCACAATATGTTACTTGTGGAGACGGAAGGATCATACACTGTGCAACAAAATTTTACCAACTTAGACATTCACGTTGGCCAATCCTACTCTTTCTTAGTGACTATGGATCAGAATGCCAGCAGCGATTACTATATTGTCGCCAGTGCAAGGTTTGTGAACGAGTCAATTTGGAGAAGGGTCACAGGTGTCGCCATACTGCGCTACTCAAATTCCAAGGGCAAGGCGTCTGGTCCACTCCCAGAGGGCCCTTATGATCTCTTCGACAAGACATTTTCCATGAATCAGGCCAGATCTATCAGGTCCGTATGCCATTCCTATAGCACTGTACATTGCAGAACTTCTCCAGTTTCCTCTGCCATATTTTTTTTCTTTTCCTTTTCTTTGTTCTTCTGAAGTTCATCCATGTCTTGTCACAACCTCTTGATTTCCTTGTTTCATCTCATATTTCTTGGCCAAAATAACATGAAATGCCATATTTTTCGTCTTGATCACCACCCCCCTTCGATGAATATTTCAGGTGGAATGTAAGCGCTGGCGCTGCCCGTCCCAACCCTCAAGGATCTTTCAAATATGGATCGATCAATGTGACCCAAGTTTATCTCTTGAGGAATAAACCCCCAGTTGTCATAAATGGAAAGCGACGAACCACACTGAACGGCCTCTCGTATGTGCCACCGACGACTCCACTACGGCTCGCCGACCAGTTTGATGTGAAAGGCGTATATGCTCTCGACTTCCCCACAAGGCCGATTGTAGGACCCCCTCGGACCTCATCGTCTATAATTAATGGCACATACAGGGGATTCATTGAAATCATATTCGTGAACAATGACACAACGGTCCAGACCTACCACATGGATGGATACGCCTTTTTTGTCGTCGGGTAGTAGCCGACCATTATCTTCAATGTTCTTCAAGACCGTCGCCATTCCTTTACGCTGCTAAGCATTCAATCTTACATCAATTTCAGGATGGACTATGGAGAATGGACGGAGAGCAGCCGAGGCACATACAACAAGTGGGATGGTGTTGCAAGATGCACGACTCAGGTGCGTCCATGGTGGTGAATTCTCTCGATTTGCCAAGAACATTCTCCTGTTTTGTTGGAAAGGATGAAAACAAAAATATGCTTGACCAACATGGCTGAAACCAAAACCATACTCGTATTGCACATGTTTACTGATTGCTCTCTCCAGTGTGAGGCCTGGTGGATCTCTTTCTAGCTGTTGAGTAGTCAACGCTAGCTGTCGGGTCAATGAATTTCTCTCAATTGCCGAATTTTATCATGTTTACTGATTCCTCTAGTCAATGGGTGCCTTGTGGATCTCTCCTGTTCGTTGACTGATCTACAGTTCTCTGCTTATAAAATCAGAACCAGTGGTCCGATCTAATCATATTCATTGATTCCCCCCCTCACCAATGCCTGCTCTATGGATCTCTCTCTCTCTCTCTCTCTACGCGTTGACTGATCAGATTAATGAACTTCTCTGCTGATTCGATCTCCATCTGGCAGGTTTACCCGGGAGCATGGACCGCGATCCTGGTCTCCCTGGACAATGTGGGTGTGTGGAACGTGCGCACCGAGAACCTCGACACGTGGTACCTAGGCCAGGAGACGTACATTCAGGTAGTGAACCCGGAGCAGACCAACAAGACCGAGCTGGCCCCTCCCGACAACGTCCTCTATTGCGGCCTCCTCCAGTCTAAGCAGAAGTAAGAAGAAGCTCCCCCCGTTGACTCTGGATCTTCCCCGCCTTCCTCCCCCTCTGTTTTACTCACCGATTGACTCTCTGTTCTCTCCGTTGTTCCTCGCCAGGCCCCAGACTGTTCACCACAAGATCACCTCCGCTGGTTCCATCTCAAATGCCGGATTCCGGGGTCTCCTGTGCCTTGTGATCGCCGCTCTCGCCGCCATTTCCCTCTGAGGATGCTGCGTTCCGCCTTCAAGGTGCCCATGTTGATACCCTTGCTCCCCTTTGAGTTTCTCCCCCCCTCAATTTCCCTATTTGGGTAATTGTAGAGCCTTTCTCTCTCTCTCTCCCTCCCTCTCTCTCTCTCTCTCTCTCTCTCTCTCTCTCTCTCTCAAGCTTAATGTTCTGATTGTTCAGCCATTGGAAAATTTAATTGAACTGCTGACAGGCTGGGTCGCATGGTTCTGTAGAAAAAATGTAGGGTGGGGAGTGCAAAATTCGAGTTTTATAGGGTGGGTGGGACGCAGAGTCTCGATGGGCCGGGCTTTTTCGGTCCGGGAGAAAAGCCCGAAATGGGATCCTGACCGGGCCGGATCTGTTTGATTTTTTGGAGTAATATTATAAAAACATAGCCTTTGGGGAATTTACCGAGTGAATAAAGCCACTCGATGGTGCCAGCGGGGTCGACTGAACCGACAGAAGGTGAGAGTGGGCGCCGCGCTTTAGACCGGCGTTAGGAACCATCTTCTCCGTCGCCTTGCGCCTCCTCCTCTGTACCTCTGCGCCGGGCTTTTGCCTCCTTGTACTCACCCCCACCAACACACACAGAGAGAGGTAGAGGTAGAGAGAGAGAGAAAGAGGTTGTCGAATTAGGGCACGGATCAGTGGGTCAGGTCGGAGCAAGTCGTGGAGTGATTAGTCAACGGGTCTGTCGGAGGGTAGCGATGTCCAGTTGATTTGATATCGACAAGCAGCTGTATGATGGATGGAAAGCGGCACTGAGCTCTGAAAGAGGGAGGGAGGGAGGGTTACCTGTCCTTAGTCGCTTCTCGCCCCCGCGGTTCCTTGCCCGCTGCGCCCGCAAGGTTGCGCGACAAAATTTCCTCTTTTACTCTGCTTCACTGGTACACTACCCCCCCGGCGGAGAGGGAGAGAGGGAGAGAGGGAGAAGGGGATTGCAGAAATCTGAAGGAAACTCGGCAGATTGTGAGGCGGAGGAAGAGGAGGGAGAGCAGCAGGAGGGGAATGGAGGGATGAGAGTGAGACAGGTTTTCTTTCTCCTGAAACCCTAGGAAGAGTGAGGAGAGGAGGATAGCGGGGCGGGAGATCTCGAGATGCTGCAGAAGCTCGCCTTAGCGGTCAAGTCCAAGACCATCGAATTCTTCGCCGAGGAGGACGAGGAGGACGAAGACCGGGCCGGCGGGGCCGATCTCGACTCCGCCGAGGAGGTAATCACTGGCCAGCGAGTCGTCGTCATCAAACCCGACAGCCCCATCGGCAGGGACAATGGCAGCAGGAATCCCTCGGCCCCCAGGTCCGCAATGCCTCTTCTCCCCAAGAGCCCTGAACAGATCAGCCGTGGCCTCATCTCTTCCGTCTTTGCCACCGTCTCCTCATTCCACGCCGCCTACCTCAACCTCCAGATCGCCCACGAGCCGTTCCAGCCCGACGCCATTGCGGCGGCCGACCGCGCCGCCGTGCTCCACCTCCAGCGTCTGTCAGATCTCCGCCAGGCCTACCACCTCCTGCGTCAGAGTCCCGAGGGCGCTGCCGCTCGAGGGCTGGCCGTCTCATCGCAGGTGCAGGCTCAGGTTCAGGAGAACCAGAGTATGCTCCGCAAGTTCGAGGCTGTATTCAACCGGCTGCAGTCCGACATCGATGGGAAGGACGCTGAGGTCTCTGCACTGAAGGAACAGCTGAGGGAGATGGAGGCCTCCAATTCCCTCCTGGAGAGGAAGCTCAAGGCCGGATCCGCCTCTCCCTCCGTGGACGACGGCGAGAAACTCGTCCTCTCCATCGGGGTCTTCGATGCTGTTCTCAAGGAGGCGTACAGAGCGGCGCACAGCTTCACCGGGATCTTCATCAAGGTTCTGAAGGCGTCCGGGGGGGACCCCAAGGCTGCTGCGAATTCCATCTACCAAGATGTGGGGTTTCTGAAGGGAGATCACCACGGCTACGCCCTCCTGTCGTACTTCTGCCTGGGGATGTTCGGGGGCTTCGCTTCGGAAGAGTTCAGCTCCGACAGCCATGGAGATCGTCCGAGTGCCGGCAGGAAGAGACAATTCTTCAGGGAATTCATCAAGCAATGCCTGGTCGATCCCACAGAGCTATTGGCCACGGAGCCCGAGGGCCAGTTCGCCAGATTCTGCGAGAGAAAGTACTGTTCCCTCATCAAGCCGAGCATCGGATCATTGCCCCCCTTCAATGCCGCCATGGACACCCCCCTGGGCCCGTGGGGGCCATCGAATCCGCTCTACGAGCCGTTCGTGAGCATGAGCAGCTTGGTGTGGGCAGCTTGCAGGCTGGCCATGGCATTCGAGGGGCCGATTGAGATCTTCCGAGTCCAGCCGGGAGTTGACTTCTGCATGGTTTTCATGGAGAACGTCCTCGGGAAGAACACACTCTTGGGGATGAACCTTGGGAGGGCGATGCCGAAGGTGGGTTTCACTGTCTTTCCTGGTTTCCGACACGGTCCTGCATCAACAATACAGTGTAAGGTTTACTTGAATTACAGAGAGTCTTCACCATGATTCCACATTCAAATTTGTTTTGTTCTCATAATGTAAATGCAAAATGGGAAAGATCCTCTTTGCTTAGAATTTCTTGCCGGTTCTATCAATAATATTATAAATTATGGATTTCCTTGATAACCCATGAGCCCGCATTATCTTAGCTTCATGTCCTTTCCTCTGCCAATCTGATCCCCTGTTCAGCGCTGACTTTCTGTGGAGTTCGGATCCCAATTATGGCCAGTTTTTTTCAGAACCCACGAACGGTAATTTCTAGTGATGGGGGATTGACTTAAAAGATGAGTCAAATAACTCATAGATGATGAATCAGGACTTTCAATCCTTATCCATCTCCCCTTTCTCGCCGATCATATAATTTCTGAGATAATTCCATTTTGGCGAACGATTGCCTGCCAGAATCAAATTCTGGAGTATGGTTTGGAAACTGGTTGCTGTGACAGATACTCGTCTTTGTGCACTTCATGCCCGGGTCATGAGTCGGCTGCAACTATAGTGCTGGTATATTAATGTACCAAAGTTGGGTCTTTCATGTTGCATTTCCCTGTATCAATGAAGCAGAAAGATTCGTTTTTTCATCAATTGAATCAGTTGGGTCTCCTGCGCCAGACTGTTGCCCTGTTGTATGTATTCCATTGAAGATCCTTTTAGTGACATGATCCCCTGAGCTTCTTGAATCTGCCTGACGATGAGTGTGAAGTCGTACCCGCAGGATTCGGACTGCCGGGTCGGAGAGGATGCTGTCGATCTTGATCAGAATGGGGGCTTGGATTGGGTCAACTCGCATGTATTGTTTCAGATGAGTGAAGAACCAAATTGGTTGATGCTGGTCCTAATCTGGGTCAAAAATGTGGGGCCTTATCCAATCTGGTCAGGTTCCTGACAAGAATTTATATGGATTGGGCCATCATCAAAACTGCGGATGTGTTTATATATATCATAAAATTTATATTGATAAATTTTATGGATAATAGTTTCAAACGTATTAACCTTTTTACTAAATTAAAGGGGAAAAATTACTGTGGAAGGGTACCGAGGAGTTGATGTGATGATTCCGGGCGTCAACATGGTGCGGTCAACTGGCTCTGATAAGCCCTAGAAGGGAGGAGCCTTGTCTGTAGTCCGGTCAACAGCGTCCGGTCTACTCCGCGAGAAAACAGCCACCGGCGAGGTTCTCTGTGGCCTCTCGTCTCTCCCTCCTCAGCCTGGGCGGGCGCCCCCAAGATGCCGGCTTTATCGTAAACAACATGATGGGCCCGGATTCCTGAAGACACCGAGCACGCTTACGGGGTTCTGAACGATCGAAAAATGGGAGAATGATGAGAGGTCACGTGGACTGCCCACTTAATTAAGCATGGAAGACACCATTACTATCGTCGGTTCCCCTTCGTTTTCCAATCCTGGGTAGTGAGGAAGAGAGGGATGTGGACAAGGCGGTCTTCCTTCGGCCTATCGAGGAAGCGAAACCCTGCTCTCTCCATGTCCCCGTGGAAGGAGGGTTTGCGCTGAGAGAAATGCTGAGTTTCTCCAGAGGGAGTTGGCTGTAATTGGATGAGATTCATTGAGGACGTCGGTTATCTTCTAATCAGCCTTCCAGTGAAACCACTGTTCGTCACCAAGGCTCGCCTAATTTATTCCCGGCCTGTGCAGAGAAGAAATAAACCCAAGCGGATGTATAGACAGGAAGACGGACGCGACATGCACGTTACGAGGTACTTGCCCCCTCTTATTCATCTTCTCTCACATCTTCTCTTTTTACTGTTAAGCAGCCCCACCAATATGAACCCTAACGGAGGGAGGTGCCGCCGGCGCCTGATGTATTTCTTCTTCCTGGTGAAGCTCAGTTAGAGGCTACTTTCTAAAGCAGAATTACTTAGAACATCCACTACGTCTAAATGATTATAGCAACTCTTCCTTTCTTATAGAACAGACTTTCTTTTGAGTTATTTTAGGCTGAATTTAATGAAACTTTGGGCTGTTTGTGGAGAGTGTGGGGATGTAGTGAGGAATTTGGGTGATTTTATATGGATTTTTTTGTCGACGTGACCTCTGACCTTCTGAGACTCGTTTACTCCCCGGAAAAACCGTCGCCTTCCATCTCTTAGATCTTCCCAAGTATATACGGGCATCCATCCATCGTTACTAAGCCCTTTCCCCATCCTGAGGAGACTCTTTATCTCTTGAACTGGCATCCATCCATCTATACGAATAACAAACAAACGTTTCAATCTCTATGTGCAACGATATCTAGTGCCCTTCCTTTTAAGCTCGTTTGGCAATCTCGCCATCAGTACTGGTATATACGGGCATCCAGTGAATTAATATAGCATTTGCATTTTCCTATTCTCCGCAGTATTCTATTCATCAGTACTTGTTCATCTTCGGGTACTAAAGATCAACCCTCTTTGATTTTTCTCTTTCCCAGGGCTTGGCTCTGCCTTTTTATTCGCTCCAGACTTCAAACCAAAATGAGGAGATACACTGAATAAACGTTAATCGGCACTACCTGGTGTTTGTTGGGGCAAACATCCAAGTTTACCCAACACATAACCCTTGTTTTTTAACTGTACTGGAAACTCAGCATGAGAGTGAGCATTCACGATTCCTTGCGATTTCAACAGGTTGATCGCTTGCTTCTCTAAAAAGGAGTAGCTTGCTTCTAAGGATATGTTTGCGTGGCAGTTCAAGAAGGAAAATTTGGATACAATATAAATGTCAAAAAGAGTGTTGATCGCACGCGGTACTACGGTCTGTGAACTAAATGACGAAGAAAAGAGGAGAAACAAATAAATGAGGTATATTTATCAAATATAGATATGTGTCCTGGTTGATACACTGAATGAACCCGCATCAGGCATCCACTCTCTGTCGAACAATGGAACTGAGATAACAGAAACCCTCCACAATCATTCAACAAAGCTTAACCATCCGAAAAGAGATACCGATCAAGTAGGTCTGTAGATATGGGTATCTCCAATATACATATTTTTTGCTTATTGTCTACATGAGGAATCTCCCCGAACACTCTTTTTTCCTGCACTCCCTCTTCCTGGCATCATAGATGTATTTAGTATTGTGTATGTATGTGTATGTACTCTAGTTGATGCATTCCCTTCACTTCCACAGATCAATCTGGGAACTGGATGTTGACGTTGATGGATAGTCCATAACAGGCTCTTGAGAGCTGGAAGCATGGAAGACGTGGTTCTGCTCACCCGGGGCATCGTCTTGGCTAAGCTGTGATGCGACGAACTTGTCGAGAACCCTCCAATCTATCGGTTCCTCGGCTGTGTGCGCTGAGTAATTACATCTGCCACGGTGCGATGAGATCATCCGCCGGTGGCCACCACGCTCAACTGTCTCTTCTTCCCCCATGGGAAAGGAGAAATGGAGAGAGTTTCCAGGGTTGACGTCGCTGGGGAGCTTGGGGCTCTCCAGTTGAGGGAGCTGGAGGAAGGCCTCCTGACGGAGGTGTTGGTGGAACTCCGTCTCTCGCTTGCGAGAAGGATATACATACTGATTGTATGGCGTCACGGCAGAGCCGAGGTCTGTGGGGAAAAGAAAGTGATCTTCGAACCAGCATGGGGGTTCCTGCTCGCTTCCTTTGCTTGTCGCCGGAATCCGTTTCTTGAACACTCGGCATACGACCCAGCCCTCCTCCTGGAACACACACGAACATATAAGCTCTTGCGGTCATATCACATCTAGAAAATCCAAAAGTTGTGTATTCGGATATCTATCTCTGCGGGGAGTACATCTTGAAGAACGGAAAATAATCTGCGATCCCATTTGGTTCATCAGAATGGAAACATATCATCATGAAAAGAAACATTTGATATGGAAAATCTTTCTAATCAGATGGAAGAGATAGATAGGATCGCTGCACGTATGAGAGGATTCAAAGAGCATTATGGATTGTACTTCGACACAAAAATTTCATATATGTCATTATATGATAGTAGAGATAACGAAAGAGCGTTAAATTTTTAATTGGTATTGTCAATAAATATAATAAATATATGTACCTGAACAGTCGCGTTTTCATTTGTTTCGAGTCGATATTCATGCATGATGTAATCCGACTTCTGCCCATTTGGAGCTCGGCCCTTGTAGAAGACTAATGTCTTCCTCATCCCAACCAAGGCATGCTTTGAATGAATAGGCTTGTCCCTTCCCGTTGCCTTCCAAAACCCTGCTGTTGTTGCTCGATTTGTCCGGGTACCGGTGGGATACTTCTTGTCTTTGTGGCTAAAGAAGTACCACTCACTCTGCTCCTCCTCTCCTATCTTGCATGCATCTGGTTCGAGGAAAAAGGAGATCCACCATACTATATAACTCAAGATCCTGTATTAAGTAAAACTGGTGGTTTTTATTGCCACAGAAAATGGCTTATATGAAAGCTACCTTGAAGATCCCATGGCTCAATTCTGTATAGATCAACATCTTTGATAACATCCAAGTCAATCCCAGTGGAAGCCACTTTCTTCCTCAAATAGTAGTCAACGAGCTCTTCCTCTGTTGGATGGAAACGAAAACCTGGGGGTACATGCATATATGTATTCATTTTTTGTTCCTTCACAGAAATTCGGACCTGAAAAAGAAGTTTTATTATGAGATTCAAAAGGGTTTATTATTTTAATTCTGAGGCTAATCATGAATTTGGAATGATAGGAGCATGTTTCTTGAAAACCAATCCATATCTAAGACCATAATTGGTGAAATTGGCAGCATATGAGTTGATAGAACAAGATTATCTATAATTCATGGTATTTTCTTCCATAGTTTTATTGTTAAAAATAATAACATAATGGACGATTTGTTTCTTGATGGAGGATGCTACATACTGACCACCGTTCATAGAAAATTATTTATTCGGCTAAAAAATATTTAAAGGAATAAAAGACTCGTCAAAATAATTATGATGCCACTCTATGTGAACGGATTGAAGAGGATAACAAAAATGTTGGATGGTTATGGAGAGAAAAACGTAGAATTAATTTCTATCTTATATCCCATAATAAGAGGTTAATTAAATGAATCCATGACACAGAAATAATCATCTTAAAATCCTGCAAAAACAGATAAAGACTGAATGCTTGTTCCATCTATAACATGTCAAATGAATTGCATGACAGGAATTTATAAAGCTTGATTACGAAAGAGAAAAAGCCAGATTGAGTAATAAATAATACACATGAGAGATGAAAAAAATGTTACAGTTTATTATATTTCGTCTCTTAATATTGGCATGTTTTTGGATCAAAACTTTGAAACAAATGGATACATGGGCTCTGTAATTTTATTATATCCGATAAGTAATAAAAAAATATGTTAATGGAAGAAATGAATTAAAACTACATTTTTTCAACTTAAACCTGAAGCTTCGTGGTTAATTAAATTATTAGATTATGATAGAGGGATATCAGAAACAACAATCATAAAAAAAATCGTGGTATTAGGTTTTCCTTGAAAGCACAAAGTTTTTTCAAAAGATATAAAATTCCATGTTGCTTCTATCAAAAAAAAATTCCATATCATACTTTTGGAATATTCTTGTCGTGTTGATAAAATTTATAGTGGTGGTAGCTGGTAGTAGTCAAAAGAAAAGAGTGACCCTGTCAAGACTACATATGTTCATAAGTCTCTTACTTTAACTACCAAACTTGATTAAACATAATTAATTTTAGCTTTATGAGGCACCATTAGGGATACCATTCAATGTGGATTTACTTTTTCTAATGCTAGTGTACTTCTACAATTTTGTGCAGAAATGAAAATCTGACGATATAATGGAGAAACTAATTGATTCAGTCACAAAATTAATTAATTTAATAGTATAGGCGTATTGCACATTATACAACTCCACAAGGTTACTTAAACAAGGAAATATTGCACTAATTTACCTTTTGCTTTGATAATTGCTTAGTTGTTATAAAACAATGTGGAATCAAAATTTGTACCTAATTTTGTTTACCTCCAGTATGAAATTAAAAGAGCATGAAGATGATTAAAATGATATTAGCAGTTAGTATGTATCCCAATTATTTTAAACATGTATTACTTATACAGTGTAAGCATCACTTTGACATCTACAATGATGAATTGGCTGGAGTGGTGCTATTTCATTTAGAAAGCATGAGAAGGGGGAAAAATCATCTGCATGAAAAGATAACCATAAAAAGTTTATACTTTCCTAATTGAGATTGCTCAACCGATTGCAGGAATTTTCCACGACAAATGGAAGCATCATTAAGTATCAGGTGGCTCGTTTTAATGGCCCATAACGTAGTGTACTATATTTTTAAATGATGCACCGCACAAGAAAACGAAATCTATGAAGACAAATCAATATCCTACTAATTTCGTCAAGTTCAATGCCGCACCTTGGATGTGCCAGCAACAAATGGACTTCATAATAAGGGCATCATATTTGCGAAAGGGCGATTATCTAGTCCAACTGGATGAACTTGAATAAAGTTCATCGTTTATGACGAAAAATGCCTATGGATTACAGCTACTCAATCAGTATTTCGGAACGAAATCAGCGCGTAGAAAATTTCGAGTAGATGTCGGTGTAAAATACCCAGAGAAAAGACGAATCGTAGAAGAGAAAAAGAACACAAGCAAGAAGAAACCCTAATCACACGTGCAGGCTTAGGTTCTTCCCTGGAGACACTAGGATAAACTGTCGGCACGAGCGCGTCGACTAGACATTTAGGATTCTCGTATTCTACTTTTCTGTTTAACGTTTTAGTCTGTATCGCACGACAAATTCAATTCTCTGACGACGAGAGAGCAAAATATTGCCCTTGCGGTGCTCATTGCATAAAATCAGTGACCAAGAAAATAAGAAATACGTACGTGCATATTAAAATAATGAAAAAAATAATGGCTTTCAGAAGTATTAATGCACCAGGGGGACGAGAGAGAGAGAGAGTAAAACCAACAACGGAGAACAATATATATCAAAGGCAAATGACCACATTGAAATAGAACGATGCCCATAGGGGACGGAGAGAGAGAGAGAGAGAGAGAGAGAGAGAGAGAGAGCTCACGGCTCAGGAGTAGTTATCTAATCCACTAGACGTTCGCCTGTGAATGCGAGGAACCTCTGTAAGCCTGACCGCCGCGAGAATGGAGGATTTCCTTCTCCACCGTGGTTGACTTTCTCTGCTGATCCAAACGATAGAGGAAGCGGGGTGGGAACCCTTAGAGGACGGGGCAGAGGTGGGGGGGTGCCTGAAAACCCAAAGAAAGAGTAGACAATGGCGACGACGATGATATTCTAACCCCCAACATTCAAGTGCTTCTCCATCCCATTGCTCGCCCTTGTGCTTTCCTCCTCTTCTTTTTCCTCGTCTTCACTTGGCGCCCTGGCTTGTTTGCGAGGAAAGCTATGCTACTGGCTGAAGCGAGATCTCTTCCTCCCTCCGCCTGTCGTGGTGGCGACAACGGGCACCCGCTACTGAAAGTGACGGATAATATATACAAATAGGAAGGGTATTCAGAGACGAGGAACTGGATTGCGGGGGGGGAGGAGGGGGGAGATAGATAGATAGAGAGAGAGAGAGAAGCCGTAACGGAGGAGGGTCCAACGCCGACGGCGATGCGGAGAAGTAGCTCTCCTAAGATATCTCCGTGAAGCCACTCGGGTTACCGCGAACCATGGACGAAATTATGGAAGACGAAAAGGAGAATAAAAGTTTTTCCAAGCCCGAGCCGTTCTTTTTCTTTTCCTTCTTCTTCCCTTCCCTCTTATATCCTCAACCTAAGACTCCCCCCATCTCTCATGTCCTCCAACCCATTTACCGACTCTCACCTGAGCCAGTGCCAAACATCAAAATAGCTCTCGAATGTCCAACCTTAGATGATGAGGGCGAGTCGATCACAATAGATTGGAGAACCGCAAGTTGCGGGGGACAGCTGATTGGCTGACCTGGGCGTGATATGATCATCTTAGTAGTACGGATATGTATATAGCGAGAGAGAGACACACGCCAAATGTTTGCGGATCATCCTGGATATTGACAGGAAACCTAAACATTCCAATCGAGACGCCTCACCATGGGCAACCCATAAAGGAATGAGCTCCCTCGGGACTGCGGCAGACATCCTCCGAAGCTCCGACCTACTATTTTTAGTATTGAATCTCCCCAGTGTTCATACGCAGTTCCCGACATACTGATTCTCAGGGGGTCAAAGGGACTCGGAGCTCCGGCTGACACCCGTCGGCAGGGATAGTGCCGGCGGCCGGCCGGCAGAAATGATGCCGGTGATCTACGTGGCAACTGCTGGTCCGGCGTGGGGTTTCACTCCGATCATTAGGCTCGCAACTTGGCGGGCGGGGACTCGAGTGTTAATCTACTCGACCAGCTAACCACAGTGGCCCACGGTCAACACGTGCTACGACGATGTCTCCGCGCGTGCGAGGATGACGTGGGAGGGAGGAGGAGGCTTTGGGGGAGACTAAAAACAGGCTGGCCGGCGGTGGCGGTGGCGGTGGCGGTGGTTGCCGTAGCTCAGGCGTTATAAAAAGAACGCTTTCTAGAGTACCCATTTATCATATATAATCCGATGAACAATATATGTGTATATTTACTTATATTTTCACGCTGGTGGAGAAGTGAAGCTCAAGTATCATACGTGATCTGTGGGTCACGCACACATCATCCTCACCGGGAGCAGATTGCACTGTAAATTAATGGAATATGGTGTTCTAGTTTCTTAGGGGAAATAATATCCCTAGTTAGAAGAAGAAGGCTCATGGGGAAGAACGATGATCAGTCTTCGGATTACAATCCTTTCACTCCTAACGCATGCAAACTTTTACTGTCATACATAGTGTCACGAACGGAGTTACCGAGACTGAAAGAATGCCGCAGGCAGCAGGGGAGAGAGATCTAGAAAGAGGAGAGAAATAGATAAAAGTTAAAAGGATCTGATGGCTGAACAAATGAGAGAGAAAGAGAGGGAACCTTGAGAAGTTTTAGGAAGAACAAGAAATGCCTTTCTAGACGAAAAGTTGGACTGTTGACAGAGGTAGAGAGAGGGAGGGAGGGAAGGAGGGAGGGAGGGAGAGAAAGTCTCTTCATTGTTAGACACTGGGAAGCTTTTGAAAGAAAAAGAAATCCCATTGCAGGCGGAAACATGGAGAAGGGAGGGAAGGAGAGAGAGAGAGAGAGAGATGGGCGTAAGCGCGTGTGGAGTATAGGCGAGCCTTCTCGTTAAAGCTACAAGAGCGAGCACCCTATTCTCGCCGCGGAGGCGATCGGCAATCATAACGTAGGTGGGAACATCATTTGTCTGGTCACGGCGGACTTGAAACCCCATGTACCGGCCATAGGCAGGAATTTCATGCTCCCCGTTGAACAATGTTGGCTTCGTTATCTTCACGTGCATATATTGGGAATGTATTCGAGAGCTCATCTCGAACCTGGACATAATTTATGGCCGAGTCCGGATGGACCTGCGGCGACGTGATCGTATGAATCTTTGTTGACCGGAGGGAAACCAGCGGTGATGGGCAGATACCGGGGGCTTTCCACGGGGTAGTTTGAGATCTCAGGTGAGCGGAGTCGTCTCCTCCGGGTTAAGAGAGCACGACGTCACTCTCCTCCGAAGGTGACCTCCCAAAGCTGTTGTCGACCAGGGTCACCAGCCGGGCGAGTGGCGTCTTCGCCTCCAACGCCCTCCAGGATGGGGAAGAAAGGTTTATTCTCTGCCGCCGGGGGTTCATATGGAGTGAAACGAATCGGCCACCGGCAGTATTAGGTTGACACGCCAGGATTGCAGTTAGAGGAGTCGCCGATCATAGCAGCAACCTTTTGCCACCTAAAACCAAAAACAAAAAAATCTTCCAAGACGGCGTGCCAACTGTTTGGCTTCGGAGGCGTTTACTTTAGAAAATATGGATCGGATTATATAGTTGAAGGATATATTTTCATGAATATGGACTAGAATAAATTCGTTGAACCTCTCGTACAGGATATCTAATAGACAGAAGCGAAACATATATATAGCGAGAGAGAGAGAGAGAGAGAGAGAGAGAGAGAGAGAGAGAGACTCGGCAGCAGGTCTATTCTTCTTGTATCAACTATTCCTCTCCCCCGAGACACTCGTCACGACAGGGCCTGCGCCTGGTCGGGGAAAAGCGCCGGATCTCCGGCGCAATGTTCGGCTCAGTGGGAACGGCAGTCGACTGGGCGTCTGTCCGCCTGCTTTGAGAGCTGAGAGAGCGCGAGGCAGCCCCTATGTTACCCTCTCCTCCCTCCCACTGAAGAATGTGAACCATGGCAGAACACCGACTCAAACCACCATATCAGCTCTCTCACGAAAACGAGAAGCTCCTCATCAATCCCCTCCTCTCGTCTCTCTTCTCCACCCTCCCCTTCCAAACTATCCTCTTACATTTTTTTTTAGAAGAAACCGAGGCAGCCGAGGAGGCTTTCTCCCATCGTGCACATCGACCTTGACTTCCTGCTCGAGTTCGCCCCACTCTTGCGGGCGGACTTCGGCCGTGGCTCCAGGCCGTGAACATGCAGCGACGCGGATGATGGGTTTCTTCAACCTGGGCTGGGCCATGGGTTTTTTGTCGAGGATACGGATGGTGAAGCAGCATAGCCCAGACGGCGACTTCGTCTCTGGGCCGCGTGAATCGTCAAAGTATGAAATGTGTAACTTCTCATTTCATAGACCGACGAGAGCCAAGCAAACTTTCTCTCTCTCTCTCTCTCTCCCCTCCCAAAGGACAATTGCCCTTCGTCAACGTAGCCACTATATCTTCTCACACATAGGTTACCATCCTTATAAGAAAATGAAATCCCAACGTGCGGGCAAGCTCATACTCTTCGATTATAAGGTAAATCGCCGTCGACTAAGGTAGAATCAGACTAGACCACTTCAACCTGGTAATATTCCTAACCTTTCTTGTGGTATGCCATTATATTCCGGATAACTCCCACGAATTTCACTGAAAAAGAAGCTCCCTTACTCATGATTTCCCCAGTTGAAAGATAGATTGATAGAAATTCTGATATATCCCTTTGTCAGTTTTTTTATCGTAAAGTATCTCAGTACCTATGGTTGGTGTGTGGCATTATACGAGTGCTACGTTCATCCATAATTTAGTTGCCATCATCATCAAAAGGACGAAAAGCATAAAAACATGAAATAATACAGTTTATAATATTTATATTTAATAAACTTATTAAGTGATGATAATAATTTGATTTCAAAAGGATGAGAAAACACTTTACTTTATAATATCAAAGGTTATTTGGGTTTACACTCCGTAAAGATCCCCTCTCTCAAGATCATTCATTGAAAACTGACTAATGAAGCCCACCATGGGTCCAATGAAAGGCTTGCGGCATAGTTGGGGTCCCACTAAAGAAGATGGACAATTGGTGTACGGTTCGATAGGCTAATTGAAGGGGACGACTCTTGTTGGTCCTCTCATCACCAGTTCCCTCCAATCCTTGCCTCACTGCGTTTATATAAAAGTCAACTCAAGGCCAACATATTTCATTAATTATTAGAAAAGTTAGGGTAATGATCAACGGTCGGCCCAATTTGGGATTAAGTGATAATGCCGTTTTAAAATTTGCACATTTTTTCCCTGGTTCATGTTGCGTCGCGTCGGCGTGACAAAGATCTCGTTGTCAGCATCCGTACGATAGGCTCACAGTCAACGAGCCATTCATTTTTTTAGTGGTAATACGGAAATGGCAGCCAGCCACCACCGGCTGCTTGGTGTCTGGCAGCTAGTGACCGAATCGGATTCCATTCGTTGTAACGCCGTTGGGTATAACTTTCAAACTGGCGGTCCGACTGCTAGATTGGATCGAGACAAGTGGCAGAAATTGGGTCCTAAGGAAATCTTGTGGAGGCCAAAAAGGGTCAATCTCTACTATTAGTAATATAGAGAAACTTTAGATCTAATCAGATGATATATCCAATTGCTGTTGTCTTAGAAGTCGGGGAATATATCCATTGAAGATAAGATCAAATTTATACATGGACAAAGAAAAAGCTTGACTGCTGCTTCTGACTAGCCACAAAGGGCGTTGACTGGGCAATCTTAGTCCACGTGGCAAGGGGGTTATAGTATGGATGGAACTCTAATTGCGTGATGAAATTTCTTCACGTGGGATTGGTGGCCAAAGGCCGTCCTCTTGTCTCATGCAGCATCATTGGTCTGATTAATTAATTTTAGACCGTCACATAATTCATCCATTAGCCCCAACCACTCCATTCTTGGTTTTTAGTTTTCCATCCCAATTCACAAGAGTCAAGGGATATAAATGTTTCATATTAATCGTACTTCACCTAACCTAATGCTCATATTAATCGTATCTATACCCTGAAATCCGTGACCCTCCGGTCGGAAATTTTAAATCTCATAAACATATTTATCGGACTTCATTCATGATTATTCGTTAATTTCCGTTGAACCCAACTGGACGAGGTCCCACGTGTGGCACGTTGCCAGGGGTGTACGGCGGGGACATGGGGCATTGACACGTGGCTTTTTCTGGCAGAACTCCGCAGTTTATATGGACCGAGTGGGGGATGGCGGAAGCCAAACGTTTCTCCTCCTTTCTCAGGCGTGGGGGTCCATGAAGAGACTCAGGGGGATCAGGGTGGGCAGGACGTTGCACTGTGTCTGGAGATGGGTCCGACGACGGCGGTGGCGGTCCAACGGCGGCGATTACCTCCGCTCGGGATGTACCTTCTCTCCGTCACCCTCCCAGCGAGCTGACCGGGAGAGGACGGCCATGGCGGCCAAGTTCGCCGACTGGGGCCGCCTCTTTCCTTTGCGCCTTCGACCTTCTCCTCGGGCCTGGTTATCTGGAGGAGGAGATGAGTACGGCGGTGATTATCAGCTCCTCCGGCAGCGCCGGCCGAAGCCTCCTCCCAAGGGGCACCTCGTGGTGTACGTCCCCCGAGACGGCGGCGAGCGGCCGCACCGCGCGGTGGTGCCAGTGGTCTACTTCAACCACCCGCTGTTCGGGGAGCTGCTGCGGAAGGTGGAGACAGAATTCGGGTTCCAACAGTCCGGGGGGATCACCATCCCCTGCCCGGTCTCCGACTTCGAGAGCATCTGCACCGCCGTGGCCGCCGAAGTTGGCCGCCGCAGGAGCGGCAGCTCCGCCGCCAGGTTGCCGCGGCAGCTGCTCTCCCTCACCGGACGCCGCCCGATCGTCCAACAGACCTGCGATTATATTTGAAATGCGCGTAGAAATCTGATTATCACGTAACCCTCTCTCCTCTTCCGCTCCAAACAGACGCGCCCATCTGGCTTTAACGTAAAGGAGTCGGCTTTCCCCTCGTCAAAAGAGGGAAAGGGAAAGAGCTGATCGGTACACGGCGGGGGAATCCCCAAAAGCCACCGTCCTACTGATCTCTCCGGCTTCTCCCTCCTCGCCGGAGGTGGGAAGAAGCCGACTGAAGGCGACACTGTCCTTATCCATGAGCACCGCCGGCGGTGGGAGCCTCAAGAGTTCTGATATTTCCCTCACATCCTCGCCACCGGCGACGACCGAGATCAGAATCCCCCCCACCATCAGCATAACTTGCAGTTCCAGCAATTAAACCAGATAAATCACAAGAATCACACTTCAAAACGATCATCGTCTGAGGGCATCTGTCCATCGATGACAGGGTCCAGACCCCCCCGCAATTTAGTATAATTTACTCAACTCGGATATAAAAAAGCTAAAGACAGTTTATTATAAGGCTAGTGGGCATGAGACTGGAATAGCGGGTTAGACCCCCCTCGCCCGAATTCAGTAATTAATAGATATCTTTATTCAACCCGGATATATAAAAATAAAGACAAGTATAAAAATCTATTGGGCCTCAGAATGTAGTAGTGGGTTTGGTCCATTATGGTGGAACAGAAAATGGGCTATATGGGCCTTCTTTTTCTTGCTGGGCTTGCTTCACTCGCCGCCAGGAACCTTCTTGGAGGCCACATCTTCTCCTGCAGGCCCTGCTTCTTCCTCGGGCACTCCCGAAGCTCTTCCGTACAGGCGGCGCTGCCCTTCTCTCCGGCGATCGTACCCATCATGGCTGAGGAGGCGAAAGCCAAGGGCAACGCGGCCTTCTCAGCTGGCCGCTTCGACGAGGCGGTGCGACACTTCACGGCGGCGATCGACCTCGCGCCCACGAACCATGTCCTCTACTCTAACCGCTCCGCCGCCAACGCCTCCCTCCACCGATACGCCGAGGCCCTTGCCGACGCCGAGAAGACGGTTGAGCTGAAGCCCGATTGGCCGAAGGGATATGGCCGCCTTGGGGCCTCCCTCGTTGGGCTCGAGAGCTTCGACGACGCCGTCTCCGCCTACCGGAAGGGCCTGGAGATCGAGCCCCACAACGAAGCCCTGAAGGCGGGCCTTTCGGATGCTCAGGCGGCCGCTGCGCGGGCGCATAGGGCGCCGCCGGGGTCCTCCCCGTTTGGGAACATCTTCGAGGGCCCGGAGCTGTGGGCGAAGCTGACGGCGGATCCGTCCACAAGGAGCTACCTGCAGCAACCAGACTTCGTGAGGATGATCCAGGAAGTACAGCGGAACCCCAAAAACCTCAACACTTACCTCTCGGACCAGAGGATGATGCAGGCCCTGGGGGTCTTGCTGAATGTGAAGGTGAGGACGTCTGAGGAGATGGAGAAGGGGGCTCCCGAGGCGGAGCTGCCGAATAAGAGTCCGAAATCAGAGTCATCTCAGCGTGCTCCAGAGTCGCAGCCAGAACCAGACCCAGCACCTATGGAAGTGGAGAAAGACGATGAGGGAAAGCGGAGGAAGGCAGAGGCACAAAAGGAGAAGGAAGCGGGAAATTCGACATACAAGAAGAAGGACTTTGATACGGCAATCCAGCACTATACTAAAGCGCTTGAGCTCGATGATGAGGACATCTCTTTCCTTACGAACAGGGCTGCGGTATATTTGGAAATGGGCAAGGTAAGGGGATCCCTTCTCAACTCTTATCGTCAAACACTAGCAAAATTTCCTGGTTTTACGTCAGAAATGAGAATATATCGTGCTCTACACCGCTGTTCACAGTGTTACTTAATTGTTCTTAACGATTTCAAGGTGATTTGGCTAGTTTTTCTTGGGTATGTGATTATTTTCTGCTTCGTTCTTTTTTTTTTCGATAGGTAGCGCAATTAATACATCATTGGGTCTCTTATTAATAAAAAAATCGCATTATTTGTTATCTGTTAAACTAGGATTTCCATAATGAATCTCTAGACTCGATGTATTGGACGATTTATTTTTTTTAACAATATTTTCACCTTGTGGAAAATTCCTCGCGCTTTATCTAATTTTTATTGTACATGACGATCGAACAGTGTCGCCTTGCCAGTAATCAAGTTGTCTAGTGTTTCGCCCGTTCGTACTAGCAATTTTTCTCACTCGGAACGTGGAGAGATCATTCCAGAACATAACGTGGTCGGAGAGAACTGAGAAACTTGGTGTCTAATGGTCAGAAAAAATATTTCTAGCTCTCATTATTATCCTATAATCTTATATGTCACTCATCTGGTCAATGTAGGGCCTGAAGAACCAAGCAGAGCGCAGCAGTGTCCACAGTTTTTTGTCCACTTGCATAGCTTATGATCTTCCTTCTTCCTTTAGATTTTCGCTGCAATTCAACCAGATTCAGAACGTGTTTCACTATCTGCTGTTGACTTTTCAATTTAAAAACCAGGGAGCAGACTGGGCCGCAGTCCCTTTTGCCTTAGAATGGGTGTTGCGATTCTGGACACCAATTAGTTCTCCCATCGACTCTTTCTGCTACCTATGAATTATGAAACCCTTTTGAAATAGCATTCAGAAAACATACCATCAGAAACAGAATAAACGTTTTGGAAGCATTGACACGTCCCTGTCCCTCAAATGCCCGCAGACATGGCATTATTCTCTGGTTTGATGGGGAAAGCAGTTTGATTTCTGTCAGTTTTATTAATTTAAAGCGTTCTACACGTATTTTCTTCAAATACTGGTTATTAGACATTTGCCATAAAACTTTCCCTCTTGTTTTCCGTATCTAATGACGCTACCATGAAATAATTATCCTCAAAGTCAAATGTATGTTCGCTGTGTGATGCTCATATCTGAGCTCACTCGGTATGAGAACCCTTCTTTAGTTTGATCAGGGCGACTTAGGATGGTGAGCTGAAATTCATGAAGCCCTAGAACATGTATCTCATCATCTTCTTGATTTTGGAAGATTAAGGCCCATTTCTTATGATTTCTGATGACCGATCCATGTCGTTTAGTACGAGGAGTGCGTCAAGGATTGTGACAGAGCTGTCGAGAGGGGCCGAGAGCTTCGTTCTGATTTCAAGATGATCGCAAAGGCGTTGACTAGGAAGGGCACGGCATTGGTCAAGCTGGCCAAGACTTCAAAGGATTATGAGCCCGCTATTGAGAGCTTCCAGAAAGCGCTGACTGAGCACCGAAACCCTGATACATTGAAGAAACTTAATGACGCCGAGAGAGCGAAGAAAGACTTAGAGCAGCTAGAATATTATGACCCAAATTTGGCTGATGAAGAACGCGAGAAAGGTAATTGCCCACTCAATTGCTCTTTTACACTTCATCGGATGCCTCTGCTACTCGTGTGTTTCTACAGAATCAGTGCCGTCGAATTAGATTTAATTTAGATTTTTTGTCAAATCTGTCTCTCTTTTACCAGGAAACGAGCTCTTCATGCAGCAGAAATACCCAGAAGCTGTGAGGCATTACACAGAGGCTCTGAGGAGGAATCCTCATGATCCAAAGGTGAGAGATTTCGATCTTTGAGCCGCCGCAGTGTTCATGATTCTTCCCGGACGATTCTGATTAGGCCTTATCAGCTTCAATCTCTCTTGGTTTTGATATTCAGACCCACTAGAAGGATCTCATAATCAAGGTTTCGGAATCGCTTCCCCTTGGTTCACTGATTTATATTGATCTCTCCAGGTTTATAGCAACAGGGCGGCGTGCTACACGAAGTTGGGGGCCTTGCCAGAGGGGCTGAAGGACGCCGAGAAGTGCATCGAGCTTGACCCATCCTTCTCGAAGGGGTACACCAGAAAAGGAGCCGTTCAGTTCTTCATGAAGGAATACGACAAAGCTCTGGAGACGTACCAGGAGGGCCTGAAGCACGACCCAAGCAACCAGGAATTGCTGGACGGAGTCCGCAGGTAGGCTTTCTTGAGGGGCCAGATTTCTTCAGCCCCCCTACCTGTTCTGCGCGCTCGGTGATTACTTATTTCTGTCCCCCGAACCAGGTGTGTCGAGCAGATCAACAAGGCTAACCGGGGAGAGATCAGCCCGGATGAATTGAAGACGAGACAGGTCCGTTGACCCGTTCAGTGTGCTCAGTCTGCTGCTGGGTTCTGCCCGGTCAGATCATCTGACACAGACTTTTTGACAGGCCAAGGCGATGCAGGACCCGGAGATACAGAACATTCTCTCCGATCCCATCATGCAGCAGGTAAAAATCCCAGCGGCAATGCCGTGACCCTTCAAAAATCGGCGGGATCTGCCGTTAGGATTGCCATCTGACGAGGAGCTGGGGGGATTTTTGGTGGTGGACAGGTGTTGGTTGACTTCCAGGAGAACCCCCGGGCTGCGCAGGAGCATCTGAATAGCCCGCAGGTGATGCAGAAAATCCAGAAGCTCGTGAGCGCAGGAATAGTCCAGATGAGGTGAGAGACGGCAGGCGGAGGGAAGAGGCTCAAGAGGAAGGATCACTCGGATGACTCCTGAAGAAGGTTCATCCGTTCCCGTGTGTTCAGGATTGATTTTGAACTAAATTTTCGCCAGCTCTGGATGGGTATCACCGTTGTTGTGCTCAAATTTGTCCATAACGTCGATTATTTCGCTTCTAGCAAACTACAGCGAAGACAGTGCGGGTCCCTCCGTGTGCTCGTCGAGCTCTTGGCCAGCATATTCCTCTGCCATCTGATCTGACTTGTTGATAGTATACACGCCCACTATTAGACCAGGCTGTTGACATTTGAACCATTATTCGATTTAGCTTGTTGCTAGTTGTAGACTCATTGTCAAATGTTTGTTGTCCTAATAATACCCCATTATTTTGATCAATGTTCATTCGATCCACAGCTCGCCGACATGAGAGCCAGTACCTTGGCCAATCGACTTCCCAACGACCGTCGGCAGCTCAGCCGTGCTCGAGTTCTGGAGGTTGCAGGGTGGTGACAGGAAGGCTGTGCCCTTCACGGCCCCGGCCTTCCTGTTTCATGGACCACGCGGGGCCGAAGTGTTCGTCTCCCTTTCGTTGTCTATGGCCCCTGCGGGAACCAGTAGTCTGCCATTGATTCCGCCCTGTACGGCCGGTGGGAGGTCTACTGCCCGGCAAGGCCGCAGGCGGGGCCGCAGGCGGCACGTTGCGGCCAGGGGGGCCGCGTGGTTGCATATTAAAACGAGCCCCCGATCCGTTGGTTCCTTACCCTCTCGTTTCTGCAGTTCCTGCCCCCCCTTTGCAACAGTCAGTCCAGTGGACATGGCAGCCCACAGAAAAGCCGCCGCCGCCGGCGTCCTCCTCCTCGCGGCTCTGGCTCTCGCACTCCACGCGGGGACGGTCGCGGCCGCGGCCGCCGCCCTCCCCCGCCGGTACCAGGACCCGAGGGTGGCGCTGGCGCTCATCCGCAACAGCTGCCGGACCACCGAGTACCCGCGCCTGTGCGTGCGCTCCCTCTCCGCCTTCGCCGGCGCCATCCAGACCCCCGCGCAGCTAGCCGACGTAGCATTGGCGGTCAGCCTGAGGACCGCCCGCTCCGCGACGGCCGTGGTGACGAGGATGGCAGCGCGGCGGCGGCGCAGGATGGGTCGCCGGGCGGCGTCCGCCATCGGGGACTGCCTGGAGACGATGGGAGATTCCGTCGACGAGTTGAGGGACTCGCTCCGTGCCATTGGCCATATGAACAGGCGCAATGTCCGCCTGCAGATCAGCAACATCCAGACGTGGGTAAGCGCCGCGCTGACGGACGACGACACCTGCATGGAGGAGCTCGCCGGAAAGGCCATCGACGCCGAGGTGAGGGCCGTCGTGAGAGGCCACATTACGAGGGTTACCCAGCTGACGAGGAACGCTCTGGCTCTGATCAACACCCTCTCCACCACCGCAGCCGCCGCCGCCGACTCTCCGTGAACCCTCCTCCCCTTCCCTCCCCTCCCCTCCTCTCGTCCCCCACCGTCCCGTTATCACCCCCCCGAGTGGAAGGGTGAGCTACTGCAAGTCCGTCTCCTGCTTGCTTTACTACTGGATTGCCGATGGTAGCTTTCCATGGTTCCCTTTCGATCTCTCATGGCAGTAAATTACGGTGGGCATGTCTTTACTGTAAGAGATGACTCATCTAACATTAAATTCAGAAACCCATAACATAAAATCGATAATTTCCTTCATTCGTAGGTATAATTCAACAGATGAAAACTAATTTCTCTGTCCTCGGAGCGAATAGTAGAGACCGCACGGCCCTAAGTCACCCCGGTACAGTCTGCGAAGGTGTTGCTCTCTCCACACTGCCGAAACCCTAACGTCTGTCAGGTCCATCCTTCCTACCTTGTCGGACACCAGGAAGGAAGAGAGAGAGAGAGGACCGATCCCCCTTACTGTCCGATGTATATGGGCTACCCAAAGAGTGAAAGAAGTGGTCACAGTGCGTGATTTTACGACCATCAGTCGGTAATAAAGCAGAGCTCCTGCCGTCCGTTGCGGCTGAGCAGCCCGGAGAAGTACCGCGATCACCTTGGCCGTTTGAGGGGCCTATAGAAGGGGCACAATCCGCTGCCGACAGAGGCTTGGCATTAACTGCGGCGTTAATTAAAATACGCCAATCGATGAAGAGAATCTCGACGGGACGAACTCCTGGGCCCGGAGCTCTCGAGAGCTACTCATCCGGGCTGGCTCCGGCCTTGTCATATCTCTGGACGCGCGGCTGTCGCTGTCGTGGGCCGCCTCCGGGCACATGCTTGAATGAGGAGGGCGAGAGGTCTCCGTCCACCGGAGAATCGCTCTCCGGCTGCGGGTACTGAACAGCATCGCGGCCGCTTCTCCTCCGGCGCCGCCAGCGAAGAGTTTCTTATATCCGTAATTATTAAGTTAATCTCTCCCCATCGCCATCTCTATCTCTATCTCCGTGCGTTATCTCTCTTGAGTTCCGTCTCTATCTCGTCTGCCTCGAGCTCTATCTCTACGCCTTCGTCCATTTCTTTCTTAATTATGATGTCCGCATGCGCCGCCTGCGCCGCCTGCTAGCGGGCATGTGCGGATGTCGGGAGGGGGCTTTCCGTGCATGCGATCACGTGGCCGTCGGAGCCGGCCATTACCGTCTATCCTTTTCCCTGGCCCGCCAAGCTGCTGCCTTTATTCCGCCGCCCTCACCGTCGCCGTGGTGAAAGCCCTCCTGCGGCGCCCTGAGATCGAAAGGTCCCTCCTTTCCGTGAAAGAGGGTGACCGACCCCCCTGGCACACAGATTGCTTCACGAGTCGAGTGAGAAAAAGAGAGAGAGAGAGAGAGGGTGGTAACCAGCATCCCCCATTAATGGAGGGGAGATACTTCAAACACCAGTACCGTACACCCCACAGACTGCGACAGTCCGTCAATAATGATACGATTGGGACCGTCTCCGCCATACCGAATGTGACAGGCAGTTCATCCCTCTTCTCTCTTATACACACATTTCTCTCCATCTACTTCTACCGACAATATTCCGGAGGAGACAGCGAGAGGAACATGATTCCGGAGAGGCTTTCGGTGTCGGAAACGTAAGTGAAACCAGAAGTGCAAGATCAAGATCTTATTCTATGCTTCGTCCGAGGGCTACGGGTTCTTCACCGGCATCAAAACCACCTCTACGGTTTTTGGTCCTTCCGGAAAACACACATATACACACATTCTCCAAGCTGAGAGAAGGAGAGAAGGATAGAGAGAAAGATGGATGTGTATGGATAGAGGATGGAGCTTGTTCACAGGAGGAGATGGAGCTTCTGGCTCAGTGCCTGGCGGCGATCCGGTTGACGAGAGCGAGGGCGTTGCTGGTCTCCTGCGCAAGACCGACGATCTTCCGCCGGATGGCGGTCTTCATCGCAGCGTCAACGTTGGTGCCGGAAAACCCGTCGAGGCAGGTGGTCTCGTCGGTGAGGGCGGCGCTAACCCATGTCTGGACGTTGCTCAGGTGCCACGCGAAACTCGGCGTGCCAGGCTTCCCCATCCTGCCGAACTCCGCCACCGACCGGCGGAGGCGGTCCACGCTGTCGCTCACGTTCTCGATGCAGTCCCGCACGGCGCCGGCCTCCCGCGACCGTATCTTCCGGGCGCCATCCATCAGGTGGCCCACGAAGGTGGAGGCGGAGCGGGCACGATAGATGGTCACGGCGAGGGCGGTCTGCGCGAGCTGCCGCGGGTTGCGCCGGACGGCGCCGGCGAAGCCGGTGAGGGAGTGCTCGCAGAGGGCGGGGTAGCGAGTGGAGCGGCAGGAGGTGCGGATGAAATCCACGTCGGGGTGGAGAGCGGCGCCGGCGCCGGCGCCGGCGCCGGCGCAGGTGGAGAAGAGGGTGAGGAAGACGGCCGCGAGGAGGACGCGCTCCATTAAGGGTTTCCTCTCAGGGGCAGCAGCTAGAAGCAGGGGAGTGCGGGCTGAGACGGGGTTTCTTCCCATGGGAGGCGTTATAAAGATCTCTGCAGCAGAGACATCTCACGTGATGGATGGAAACATCCCCCCTTCTCTCCCAACCATTTTTTTAAATTCCGGGAAAACAAACGCCGGGCTGCGGTTTTCTTGACTTCTCTCCCATCGGAGCGCGCTCACAAAGGGACCATCCGCCGATATTTCGTCGGCATCCCCGCGTTCTCCGCGAGGTCCGCCGCTATCACCGCGCCAAGATTCCGTAATGAAGGCTTGGGAACTTCCAGACCCAACGGGGACCTCCTCCCTTCTCTCTCTGCTTCACGCATTTCGGCGACGGAAGGGATGAGAGAGAGAGAGAGAGAGAGAGAGAGAGAGAGAGAGAACCCGGATACAGAAAAAGAGCCCAGTTTCATAAAATGCCAAACCCGAGTGACAAAGTGGTGCCCTTCATTAAGCCTCCTCTCTTGGTTTGTCTCCCCGTCCATGAGCATCCCCATAGTTGGTCTCCGACAAGGGCAATACTAAGCGCGCGCGCGCGAGAGAGAGAGAGAGAGGGAGATGGCGGTGGAACGAACATCTATCAAAAATCCGAACTTGAACCGGTGGGTGGGTCTGGGCTGATTCTCTTTCCGAGCATGGTTTTGAGATCTAATCATAGAAATCTGAGATCGCCCGGGCTCGAAGCTCGCGGAATGATTCCTCTCTAGATGGAGCGCTCAGTACGATCTGATTCGGTCCTATCTTCTGGGTCGACGGGGTTTCTCTCTCTAATCAGCTGGAGATGGCGAAAGGAGTCAACTTTCGCCCAGTTGGAGTACGGGCCTTGGACTATTTTACTTTATCGTGGGCCCGGTATTACTGCGAGGCTTGTTTTTCTGCACATGGGGTCGATCCCTGCACGTGGGAACGGTGGAACTTTCAGCTTGCCGACCGAGACGACGTCCCTGGTGGGGATTTACAGTTTTCCAAAAATAGGCTAATTGAAGAGTGGACGTGGAGGTGAGGTGTCACTGGGTTTTAGATTAGCCCAATAATGAAGCTAGTTCCGGCCCACACCTCTGACAAACCCAGGGGACCTGCCAGACAGCGACACCACAGGGGCCGAGCTTGAGCCCGGCTCCACAGGGTTCGGCCCGAGACAATCTCGGGCTTTTTGGGCCAGGCCCGGTACCCGCCCCCGATCCATTAGCGTCCTAACCATTTTTTTTCTCCCGTCTTGAACCAAAAGGGCCGAATCAAGAATCTAGCATGATCTGGCGCCCTTCTAGAGAGAGACAGAGACAGGGAGAGTAAATTACCCAATAAGGAAAATTGGCATTTATGGCTGTTCAGACAAAAGCAAATTCTACAACGGAGGCCATACTTGGAAAAAAACAGATTCCGAAAGCCAGTTCTCAAGCAACAAGGTGATAAGATCAAAGAGATTCTGGAAGAACCCAGCTTTGGCTTCTGAATTCCATTCTGGCCTGTTCTTCCACCGAACAGGGTCCTGTTCTCAGCTGTGCTTCTGCCACAGCTTGAGCATAGTAAGTAGCTGCACTCAACCAGATACTAGATCAATGATACAGGTCCAGCCACAGATCAACGTATTTATCACGTTTTTGATGTGAAAATGAGAAAACACCAGATTTCTAATGTTTTCTGAGGTGAAATATAGGGTTTTCGTTCCTAATAAAAACACCTCGAATTCAGACATAACTCGAGCTCATCCTAGACCGAGGTTAATCTGGTGCTGGTCAACCACAATTTAAAGATAAATGACAACTTTGCCCCTTCACTGCCCAACCCGAGTCAACAGAAACATGGTAGCTTGGTCATTTGGAGAAACATGTAAGGGCACAATAACAGTCAACTCAATACTCACAGCTTTCGACGGGGGCATAACCACCGGACCAGATCTGATACAGACTAAGTTTGTCGGAGTCCTTTCCCAGCTCGAAGGGGAAATTCTATAATTCAAGTGGGTTTCTAGGAAACAGGTAAAAAGTTCCTACCTTTCTGAACCATGAATTCAACGATAGAAATGGTTCATGATGAAGGAGAAAGCGGGGGACTCACCGACTCGACGATCCCTGCCTCCCCTTTGAGGCTCTGCAGAATCTACATTGCCTCAAGCCGTCATGTACTTGAGCATGGTCGCCCGAATATTCTCCATGAAAGCAGCCGCCTCTTTCTGTGGAAGAAAAATTGGCATCGACTTATTGTGATTGGAATGTATGGGGAATTCGGAAGATCCGACGTGGGATCTCGTATTATCTTCCAAACCTGGTCGCTGTTTATGGCGCTCGCAATGTTCTCGTCCAGAAGGGCAAGAACTGATCTTGTAAGCTCGTTGCGTTCCACCATCTCCAGCAGCTGCGCGAGCCATGGCTCCATCAATCCATAATTTCATCTTAAATAAATCAATAAACAAAAATAAGAAGGCGGTATGAGCTGAGCATACGGTAGCCTTCCTGTCCTTGGATTGTAGTATCTTGGAGAGCCTCTCCCTTGCTAAGACAAGGTCTGCCTGCATTTTATCATACGCTTCTGCAGTAGAGAGGGAGAGAAAGAGAGAGAGAGAGATGATGATTCAGAAGAAGCATGGCAGGAAATGTACATAATTATTGGTGATTGGAAATTGCCAAACCTGTTCCTTCTTGGAGAACCTTCTGCATGGCTTCCAACTCTATCAATCTGTCTTCCATCTCCTGCAGAGACACGAGAACGAGATCAGAGAGAGTTTCAAGCTTAGCTTGTGTGACGAAGGTCGAATGACTTTGGAGAAATACGACAGACCTTCGTTCTAGAGACTGCGAAACGAAGCTGACTGAGCTCGAGTTGCACATGGTCGAAGAACTCCTTGGTTAATCTGGCACATTTCATAAGTTAATATGGGATCTGACACCAGAGTTTAAGTACATTCCCCATGTCAAGAGTGCCAATCATGCTCGATTCGCGAGATCACCATGAAGCTTTCATCCAACATGTGAGTAGATCGATGAGACAGAGCCAATAGAGATACGAGCACATAGAGTTGAAGTGTTAGCTATGAAGCCAGGACGTGCACAAATGATCAATTAAGTTTCACACTTGAACAAAGTAATCAACTCCTCGGTGATAGAAGATGGAATGAAAGCGTTCCAGACTCAGAAACTTTCAGATTTCTCCAAAATATGCTGGATAATCGAAAGAGCTTCTTGAAATGGTCGCATGACATCTGAATTCCTGACTTTTCATCCACAAGAACACACAAATTTTCTTCATTTTGTAAGAATGATTGGGTAAGGTAACTTCTGATTCGAAATCCAGCGATAAAACCTCTTGTTTAATATGGGATGCCGATTTGATTTGCACCGAAAAAATTAGGAGAAGAAAATAAATCTAAATAGGAATGGTGATTGTGTTTTTCATTCACGTGATTTCATCTCCTGTCTCTGGCAATGTATCCTGCTTAGAAGTCCTCTTAAGACTGTTCCAATTTCTTGACATGGAGGACAGGACAACTAGCTTAGAAGCATAGAGTCTACCGGAATGGCAACATTCAAACCAGAAGAATACATGGCTGCGTCAGAGGAGTATAATTAAACCGACCGACCGAAGATCTCTGTGAAGATTGATAAGAGGAAGAAAACAAAGGAATCTGACACGAACAGCAGCGAAGCAGACTCACCGAGGCCTCAATCTGGCAATTTCGTATTCCAGCTCTCGCGCTTCCGTGTCGAGAAAGAACTCGATCAGCTCCGGAATCTTGTCGGGCACCGCACGAGACTAAACCATCCCAGAAGCAAACATCAAAGCCTGGTTTAGCTCTAATTTCTTCCCCGTAAATGCAACGATTAAATGAAGACAGAAAACGTTAAAATTCTCATATTATTGCCTCTCTGAGGGCGCGGCGGCGCTCGTTCTCCTGCCGCAGCTGGCGATTGAATTCCTCCCGCGCGTCGGCATCCTTCATCAGCCTCTTCGTGAACTCCAGCCGCGCGATGTGCCCCCCCCGCGGCGGGCCGAGTATCCCCTCCGGATCCTGCGCGCAGGTAGTTTCTGCAGTAAGCCACCTGGATCTCAAAGCACACTCCACTCCGCCGAGGGTAGCCGTCTCAGCGCACCCATCCAACGCAGCGGATCCCCCGGCACCTCCGCGATGACCCCTGCGCCGCACCCGCCGGCGGCGCACACAGTCTCCTCAACGGGACGACGCCGGAAGCGGCGGCCCCGATCCCCCGGGCGGCGGCGCCACCGATGCTGAGGGCCATGTCGACCGCCTCCGTCCAGCACCACCCGGAGATTCCTACGCGGCGGCAAAGGGCGCGGGGAAGCAACGATAACGGATAGAATTTGGACACCTCCTGGCCGCAGCCTCTCTTACCTTTAATTGGGCCGAACTGGCCCATTATTTTGATCGATTACAAGCTCCCTTTAATTGTTGGGCCATCAAGCCCAAAACTAGTCCTCAATCAGTAGTAGTACATCAGTCTTATCCTCATAATTAAAATTTTCATTTTAATAATTAATACGAGATTAATTTGAGCAGGTTGCTGCCTCCCATGCGGCCATCCTTATTTTTCTATGGAATTTATAAATAAAAATCATTTATTTTTTTATATAAATTAATGTTCAAAGCCCAATAAATATAGTTTATTGAGATCAGCAACGGCCTTCCCCAACAATTACGAAGAACTTGTAATCCGATCATTTTATAAAAAAATCACATTTGACCTTAATAATTAATCACAGAGTAACTTCAAATAGTTCACTACATTGTCCATCTTCTAAATAGCTTCCAAACAAGAACATAATCAGATATATTTAGTGAATAACACCAAGTATGATCAAAGACAGCTTGACAAATGAGCGAATGTAAATAATACTATACATTAATAAACCTAACATATCACAATATACTATAAATATAATTATATCAACATATGTAAAAAAATATATCATCTTAGATATCATGATTTATTACTTAACAGGGCAGGTGAGCACACATAATCTAGATAAGTAGCCATATAAAGCATAGTATATTGATGAATACAGTATGCAAGTGTGCATAATGTAGTATATATTTTCAAATATGAAAAATAAAATACAATACATGTAAGTGGAGTACGTAAGAAACCATGTAGATTTATTTACTTTATCGTTTCATGACTGTATGTTTGATTTTTTAAATGGCATACTACTACCTAAGGAATTGCACAATAATAATATTGTATTTCGTCTTGGATGTTTGTATCCTTTTTCACTTTATAGAGGATATATCCTCATGTTTCTATTGTAATCCAGCTCATTTTCTATGCTTGGAAGCCTATGCATTGTTTGGATCTTGATGGGTGCCTTCACTCTCTTGGGGATTCCATTCCCAACAACTATGTATGAAGTGCTTTGTGAGGAGACTCTCTAGGGCAATCCTACCACTATTGATAGACGGAGATAGGCAATTGGCTAGAGGGACATGAGCGTTATACAGTTGTATAAAATATCAACTCATACGTATAACACAGTTAAGCTTTGCTTCTAAATTTTATGCCTAAGAAAGCTAAGGTCCTCCCCATTAACTTTTTTCGATTAAGTTAGTCAAATATGATGCACAATTAAATATTTCAATTTATATAGATTATTATTATTATGTAATTGATAGTGATAAAGGAAAATCCATGGCTTTGCCTAGTTTAAACATTTATCTAATTGAAATTTTAAGCTAAGATGTTATGTTACAAGTTAATATTAGAATGGATTATGCATTCAAGATTGTTGACAACATCAGCTAGAAATGAATTACATGCATATTCTTAATGATTAAATGACTTGGTAGAGTACGAATTGAATTTACATGGTTGGGAATAATTGTATAAGCTTAATTTTACACAAAGAAATGGAGCATAAAAATGCCATAGGCATTTGTTATTGTATAGAATAAACATAAGATTCAACTCCTATGGGTTCAACTTGAGCATTTCCACAATAATACGCCTAACTTAGTATGTAATAAATAGCGAAATCATCTACAGTGGCAGGGACCTCACTCAACAACAGACATTTGCAGCCATACTGAAATTAAAAAAATACATGTCTTGCTTGTGAGAAATTCTAACAAAGATGAGGATGGGCATGACACTCAAAAGAGGTCACTCAGATGAACCTTGGTAAAATTGTAAGAGAGAGAGAGAGAGAGAGTTTGACAAGAGGGTGGGTTCCAGACGTTTTCTTACCTCGATTGTGTGGAATCTTCCATCTTCCATCTTCCACTGTCTCACCTTTTAGGAAACTTTGATATTTTTTAAGGCTCAACTATTCATTACAAAAGTCTCGTCCTTTGACCACTAGAAAATGGACCCCTACCTGAAGGAGTTTCCCTGGAGCATCTCCACATCACCTTTCACCCTTCTTAGGTCAGCCTGACCCTTCAGAGCGGTACAGTCCGTATCCCCCCAGTTCGCGAAATTTTCATTGGTTGGGCCTTCTAAGAAAACTGCCGGCCTCGGGATCGGATGGGCATTGTCTAGAGTCAACCTACCGACCGAGGCCCGTACTTCAGCCATCCTTTCAGTTCATCAGTGGACGTATAAAAATATATTTCCCCAAGACGATCATATAAATCATGTATTAAACCACGGAGTATTCCATCTGTGAGTAAGCAGAGCTAGGTCAACGTGAGACAGCTAAATATGTGTGCATCTACAGAACGAGAGATTTTGAGAGAGATAGAGAGAGGCGCAACGGATTGACCCCGGGCTGGTGGACGAAATAGGAGCTTCGAATATTTGATTGAAATTAAAAAAATGATCGGATGAATTCGTTCTTATCGACCCGAACAGTGAAAGCGAGCTCAAACAGTATCGGCTACCTACCGCCCGAAACTAGACATTGCTGGTTTTTGCTGAATATGCTATTATCAGTATCAATCAGCATCATCGATCCTCATGCTAGGCTTGAGTCTGAGAGTTCCTTAGAAGGTCGAAGCTGGGCCCATATGAAGCTTGAAAGTCGCCCAAGACTCCCATGGGACTGGGTTGGTTTTTTCTTTTCAGTTACCGAGTTAATTTTGAGGAGCAACTCCACGGATCATCTGCTTCAGTTGAGGGCTCCGGGTAAACTGGTCTTATTGACCAAATTCCTCTCTACGTCATGAACAAATTCCACTTATCACTTGAGAACCTTACCAATTTAAGAGTTTCTAGGGCAAATAAACTAATTTTTGACTAGTCTGCGCACCTTGTCTTTATGGTAAAAGATTAATTTGTATGATACTCATTGGGAGAGTATTCATATAAATTTTTGACCCACCAATCGATTTTGATGTATAGCGTCTTATTGGCAAGTAAAGTGAGATTTTTTTAACGAATAACATATAAAGCTACTATGTCATCATATACTTTTAAATACAAATTATTTGATTGTCGGGGTCCATGATTTTTAAATAAGTAATTATAAATATGACATTCTCTTGCGCGTTTTTGAAATAAAATGAGAACGCTTAATGTTGCAGATACGCTCAAGTTTTTACTGATTTTATAACCTGTTCAACCAGGTTTGCTTGACTTTACTTGTCCAGGTAACCGTAACAACACGGTTCTTATGCACTAAAAACGGCAAAGAGATATAACCACGCTTGGACAAATGGGAATAGGGAGCAGATTGAGGCACCATGATTGGACTTTGGTTTGAGGACAAGCGCAGTGTTTAAGAAGACGTTCCTTTCCTTCCAAGAAACGTATAGCCAATAGATCTTTCTTTGGACTATTACCATGCCTAGGGAAAAATCTGGCGTGTCATTATCCAAAGCTTATTAGACATTTGTCCGGATAACCAATGTTGTGAACAATTCTATTTATCCTGTCCAGAGCCCCATTAAATGCACACAAACACGTTTACATAAATAATCTATAATATACATATAGAGAGAGTATGTTTGGATACTTGCTTACGATAAAAGAAGAGGGCAACAGAGAGGAGTCATGCGGGCTACCTACTCGCCAATAAAAGACATTAGCGACTCCTCGTCGGCACCCTATTTCTGGTATCAACAGGCGACAAGTTTCCCCAAGATCAGCCGCAAGTTCTGAGCTGGTCTGACCCCCGGCCTCTGAGCTGAACCCTTGTGAACAATAGGGAAGGCGTAGGTCCGAAGAGGTCAAGGTTGTGCCTGATTGGAGCCCTTAGGCACAAGTCTCGGAGGGATCGGATCCTATGGGTGGGCCTAGGCTTCACCAAACGCATAGACCATTTCATACTTTGATTCACATTATCCGCATAGGCTGCGTACGGCGTCTACAAAAATAATATTGAATTGATGTGACGACACAATGATGTGATTATCTTAATTCATTGAATAAAATAAGGTGGGCAACATCTCTGGCACCGACCAAAATATATTGTAGTAGTTGCCACGTATCCATCCCACCGAAGCGTGTGAAACGTTCTACTGGGTCGGACCGCATCGGACAGAATTAAGCATCCCCGTTGACTAGGAGAATCCATGGTATTTTCCCCCATCGTGTGCCCATGAACCAACTCTGGTCCGACAGGATTCAAAGAGGGGAGGGCATTCAAGAAGGTTGATCATGCGTCATTAATTATCCCACACATGGAAAATAAATGCGAAAATAGCCGTTGCCGGGTAGCCCCAGGGCCAGAGGCGAACTACACGGAGAGAATACCTATCGAAGGTTCAATATTTTCCGACCAGGCTTGAGAAGAACTGTAGACTCGACTTGTTTGACAGGGAAAGACTGCTGATTTTCTTGTCGAGAATGGTCAGAGCTCATTTTCGAACCTTTACCCGGACTATACATGAGAAAAATGATGCCTGGATGCATTTTGAGACCGAGTTCCCAAGCTTTTGCCTCAAAAACAGGTTTAGAAAGAGAAATCGATCTGATTTGTCATCTAATCTGACTTCAAAAAGCTCTAAACCCTAAATTATAATCCGTCAAATAAAAGCCCATAACCCATTTTGTTGCCGCAGTCCCTGAACTCAATAGAAGTTTGACTAGGGCGTCTCAACCTCTCACACAAATACTACTTCGATCGAGTCGAGCTGGCGTAGTCAACTTACTTCGTGAGTAGGGTAACTTCAAATGCTTCCATCACATGATTGATTGTCAGTGAGATTATCCGACGCTCATTCGCACTTATATGTAAATTATCTATAAAAGTTGCGGTGGATAATGAGAGTAATCTCCTGTCTCCTGTCTCCTGTGGTTTCACCATATTGTGACAGTTATGGGTTAACAAATACGATGATCCACGGAAGCAGGGAGCTGCGCGCATCGTTGAGAGAGAGAGAGAGAGAGAAGAGGCTGACGATGTGTGACGGAGGGTTGAAGTCAGGGAGAGATCCCTATTGCGATAGGTGGACAGCAGTTTTCAAGGGGTGTAAACAAAGTCGGACACGGAGAGCGAAATGTGCGAGCGAGTTTCCTTATAAGGGTGGGTAGGGAAGGTAGGAGGCGCCTCTTGTCCTCTGGGGTGGCTGGGCTGCGGCTTTTGTCATGGGTCGCAAGCCCTGCTGCGACAAGCTTGGTGTGAAGAAGGGGCCCTGGTCAGCCGAGGAGGACAAGATGCTCGTTGATTTTATCCTTACCAATGGACAATGCTGCTGGCGCGCGGTGCCAAAGCTCGCAGGCCTGCTGCGCTGCGGCAAGAGCTGCCGGCTCCGGTGGACAAACTACCTTCGGCCTGACCTTAAACGGGGCCTGCTCAACGACGACGAGGAGCAGCTAGTCATCGACCTCCATGCCCGCCTCGGAAACAGGTACATACTCCTCTCTCTTTCTCTCTCTCTCTCTCTCCCTCCCCCACTCCATCAACCCCCCCCCCCTCCCCTTCTATCTATCTCCTTCTTCCAGGATTCTTGTCTCCAGCATCCCTGAAAATGTCCGCTTGGAAGGTGGTCGAAGATAGCAGCGAGACTGCCGGGGAGAACGGACAACGAGATTAAGAACCACTGGAACACCCACATCAAGAAAAAACTACTGAAGATGGGGATCGATCCCCTCACCCACGAGCCTCTGAACAAGCAGCTGGGCAGCTTGGGATCCGCTAGCGAGTCCGGCGATGACCAGCCGCCGGCAACGGGGAAAGTGGCCCACCATACCGCCACGGAGAGCTCCAGTCAACAGAGTGAGGCACCCACCACCGTGGATTCCTTATTGGACGACGACTTCCCCCTCGTGGGCTCCCCATGGCCGAGCAGCGAGGCGGACGGCGGCAGCTCCGGCATGCCGGCGTGGGACGGGGAGAGCGAGGCCGACTGGCTTCTGGACTACCACCAGCTCAGCGTCCTGGAGTTCGGCCTGGAGAACTTGTTCGGTGGGGACGTCAATCCTCCGCTCACGTACTGATGCAAAGCTAAAACCAAAAGACTGCGCCCTCGAACACGAAGGCACAAGAATCTATTCTGGTTATATCGCCGTGCCTGTTCAAGCAAGGGGAAGAGCTCTCCCCTGGTTCTGTATCATCTGTATAACCCGTCTTGTAGATACGTCTGTACTTCTTTATACGAGACCCCGTGGACACCCAAAATGGGAGTTCAACTCTCTGCTCTATACTGAAAGGAAGCTTCGTGGTACCTACAATAGTATCAATTTCCTGGCTTTACTTGGAAAGACGTTCCAAGTTACTTTAGAGGATAAAAAATGCACGAATGTTCTAATTCAAGGTGCCTTAAATGGGCATTATGACCTCCGAGTGCCCAGGTCCGGGGGTCAGCACACTCACACATTAACTACTATTATATCCAAATAAATATCTTATATATATAAATATCAAGAGAAATAGAGAGAGAGAGAGAGAGAGAGAGAGAGAATCTGCCATGGCTTTTCCTCGGTGCATATAGAGATTAAACCATGCGAAGACATACCCCGTTGATCTGGGTATAACCCCGCCCTATCACCGTTGTTTGACTTCATCTCTAAGCTCGATAAGACATCTCTCCTACGCCATGCGCTTGGAAAGGCGGCGGCGAAGAGGAGCTCATGCGCCAGTGTTCTTCAAGAACCTTCCAGCGGAGCAGTTGGGTCTCCTCAGTTTCTTCCGACTAAATAATTCAGTCTCTCCTCCGGACGTCGCCCATCAGAAGACCACGGAACAATAGGCGGAGCTGCTGCAACCCCGCCGGCTATTCCAGCTCTCTCGCTATCTCCCACGTCTTCAGTCTCTGTCAGGTATCTTACGGCAGAGTCGTTGGGCTGGTTATGACATCCGAGCTCCCTTGACGGCGAGCTGAACACCCGCCGTCCTGTGGTTCGTCGGTGAAATCAGGTAGGTCGCCAGCTCGGCAGAGTCCGGGGATGAAAACGAAAACTCGGCTGCGGAAGGTGGGAGGGGACGGCGACGGCTTCGCTGGCGTCAAGCGACGGCGACGGAGCTATGTTTTGTGCGCAACCGAAGAAACGAGGGATAGGAATATGTATCCCTCGGTGCTCGCCACCAACCGCCGGTGACCGGAGTTTGGTCGTCTTGCAATTAGCCTTGTCTGGCAGGTTGGACTTGTTGATTGGCTGGAGCCTTTTTAGACAAGTTTGACTTTCTATGTGACCGTCAAGGTGTCTCCCCTCCCCCCCCCGGGTGAGGGGGGACGCTACCTGGTCTACCTTTTGAATTTGATTTGGACTGGGCCGAATCGTTTTGGGTCACCATTCATTTGGGCCGAAGGGAAACGATTGCCTTGGGCGTCGGGGGGGTTCACCAGACCGCAACCCCTTCTTCCTCGTCGCTGCCGGCCGCCTGTTCTCCCCTGCAACTCAGAGACAGAAACGCCCACCCAGCTCTCGCCGATGAAGGAGAGGCACAACGCAGATCTTTTCTGCCGTCAGGAAGGCTTTTGGGCCTCCGAAAAGAAGTTTTATCCGTCAGAAGCTGTCCATGGGAGAAAACTCGTGGGGGAGAAGCCGGCGTTGAGGGCCTCCTTCACCGGCCCCGGTTGGAGCTGCTCTGCTATGTGGGGACGACGGCGCGCAGAGGACGAAGAAATGATGGAAATCGATCAGGATGATGCCACATTTGAAGGACCGCTTGTGTCTCCCACTATACGGCTCCAACAGGTAGTAAAACAAGAACACCAAGAAAGAAGGGGAACCGAGCGCCACCATTGCCATGGTCGAACAACCCAGCCTCTCCAGGATACCTAATTTCCGTCAAGGAGCTCTGCATCCTCACCGTGAAGCCGGCATGGACTGGGCGAGCCGCCCCTGAGGAGTTCCTTCATGAAAGCGATCCGCTCGCCAGGGACGCTCTCCAGCGCTGCGCCCACGCACGATAAAACTTCCAAGAACTCGTCTCAACAGAATGGCGCGCCGCTACCGCTATCTATGTCGGAACTTTCTCCTACCGCCGCAGGACGATCACCGTGGAGCCGCTGAACTCTGCGTCACTCTCCTAGTTTTTGATCGACGGCCTGGCCATCTCCGATGGCGAGCCGGACGGCAGGAGGGGGTTCCTTCCACGCGTCCTCTCCAGGAGCGGCGGCTCCCACGCCACCGTCGTTCCGGTGGGATATCCGGCTACTTGACGGCTTGGTGCAGTCGGAGATGGAATGCTTGATGGGGCTGGACCCCTTTCGGCCACCGGCCTGCTCCCGCAACGAGTAGTGACTGGGCAGATTCATGGAAATCGAGGCGCAGCAGGACCCTGTCTGCGTCCTCATCGTCTTCCCCAACGCAGGCCTCAGCTTCACGATTGAGGTCACTCTTCTCTAGGCATAGGCATCTTGGATCAGTTTGTCTCAGTTGATTGGAGTCGCGGATGATCTCCTACTTTCCTGTTCAAAGGGAATCACTACAGTGACCATCGATGATCTTCACCGTCAGGATACGTCCCCGTTCGTGATCCTGTCAAGGGAAAGCAGGGCGCATATCAGCATCATTCTGCCCAAAGGCCTCTGCCGCCTGGTAAGGGACAAAGACTTCTTCGATCTTCTGAAGCAGAAAGCTTCGTCCACCCTCCAATGGCAGATAACGAGTCAGTGGCTGCAGATGGGCTTCCCCTCCATAGACTTCTACCCGGGAATCCGGAGGAGAAAGTGGCCGAAATCGCATTCAATCAGGTGTGGAAGCAGTCGAGCCTCTTTCTCTTAGATCCTACCATCTCCTCATGCAGACAACTCCATAAATAATCACTGAACTAGCTCAGTGAAGATGTTTCCTAATAATCACGAGCGAACTCAAAGCATATAAAATTTCAGAACTCATCAGCATTCAATCACATTGAATAGCTCTTTGTCGACGATGATGCTTGGACCAATGTGGTTTGGCAGTCTTCAAGCTCCGGGTTACCCTGAACTATTCTTGGAGGCAGGTCTTCTGGGTCACCTGCCATCTGGTTGAGGCTGGGACACTGGGTCTTCAGGCGTGTGGGATCAGCTCCTTCTCTGACCCAATGGGTATATCTTCCTCCTCTTGTTCGCAATTCGGTTCATCTCCTAATTTTGTCCATTTTCAGTATGTTCCATATTATTTTTCTTCACTATATTCACGCAGACAACTCCATCTATCGCTGAAAAAGCTGGTTTTATGCGACTAGATAGCATTAGTTCCTTGTGGAATTTAATTTTCCGTAAAAATACAGGAACTGCTCTAAATATGGCGGAATATCTTGACATCTATATGATATATATTTTTTGCGACATAAATATTCAGCTTGGAGGCTTTCTCACTCCTGAGAGCGGAGACCTCCAGATCCTGTGCATCCTCAGCCTCAGGAAGCCACTTCTTCTTGGTGGTCAACGGATGGGAGATCCTTCAGGTGTGGAATAGCGAATCATGGCGTCTTCCACCTGATTTGATTCCTTGGGCATCTTAATCTTAGGCAGCACAATCTTCTTCCTCTGTCTCGGCTCAGATATGATAATATATATATATATATTATTAAAAAAATCCGGTAGCATGTTGGGAAGATCATGCATAGCTGAGGAAGTAGATTTCTGTCAGGAGCTGCTTAGAACAGAAGAAATATGGGGGGAAAATAGATTTTGCGCACAGTATTGATAAATATTTTTTAATATTATTTCGAACCCATTACGGTTTTATCTGTTTGGGATTTTAAATGGACGTGAATTATTTCTGCTTGATTAAAAAAAACTAAATTCAGGAAGATATAAATGCGAAAATGTGAAAGATCTGGTAAGAAATCGTATAAATGGATTTTAATAAATGAGGAACGGTGGAGTAGATCCTATCAGGGGTTTCGGAGATCGCAGTGATCTCCGGTGATCTCGATCAATGCCCTTTTGATCCAACGGGTGGCATCTCACTCGGAAGTGAAAGGTGCGTAGGTTAAGCTTCTGCGCGGGCTCATCAGACCACATCCATTTCCGCTATGCCCGTCCTCTAGTCTGAGTGAGACAGACCTCGCCGGTGATCTGAGAGCCACTGGAGTTGCCCGTTGAACTCGCCGGTGGCGATGAACTCGCCGCCCGCTGAGGTTTCCCGCCACTGGAGTTGCCCATGGAAAGGCAGGCGGCGGCGGTGGCGGCGGCGGGGGGTGGCGACGATCTCTCATCCCACGCCTGTCGGCCGCTTCCGCGCCGGTGAGGCTCTTCTCTGGGCGGAGAAGGAAGAGAAGGAACTCGAGCACGCACACGGCCCGTCCATAAATCCCCACAAGAGAAGCCCCTGATATCTCCGATCCTGCTGTTCCATCCGAGTAGATGACACCAAGAAGATCAAGAAAAAGAAGACTAGAAGAACTGAGGGCCGCTGCGACTGCAGAAAGTGTACCACCCGACCTGCCAAAGGCCGTCCACCCCGACGACTATGTGCTGCGCCGGATCGCACGCTTCCATAACGTCCTCACCACCGTGAGAGCCGACGAGCCCGTCGAATGGGAGGGCCGCCCGGAGGAGTTCCTGCACTACATCGATCCTTTTTCCTGTCACCCTCTCCAGCGTCCTCCTCTGAGAAGATTTCAAGAACTGGGTAAGGAGGAGCAACGCGCGGCGGCGCTGTACGCGAGGCTCTTCTCCGGCGCCCGTGGGAGCATTGCGGCGGAGCCCCTCAGTGGGGCGTTCCTCTCCCAGCTTCTGTACGACTGCTTGGCCGTCTCCGACGGCGAGCCGCCGGACTTCGAGACGGGGTTCCTCCCACGCGTCGTCCCCAGCTCCGGTGGTTCCCACCCCACCGTCGCCCACATCATCACCCCCGCCGTCGCTGGCTTCCTCCCTTTCCCGTGCGTCGCCCACTACTCGCCGGAGGACCACGCCCTCGAGGTCCGAGCGGTGATCGACCCCGGTTTCTTCGCGAAGCTCCCCGACGGCGTCATCCTCGTCGGGCTCTGCACAATCTACGCTCGCGAGACCTGGCGGCATGGGAACCGGGCCTTCCGCTACTGCCACCTCGACATCGGGCACGCCATCGCCGCAGTCGCGTTTGCGGCGGCGGCGCTCGGGTGGGACGCCCGCGTAATCGAAGGCCTGGGGCAGCGGGCCATGGAGAGGTTGATGGGTTTGGATCCCTTCCGGCCGTCGACGTGCTCCCGCGGCAAGCAGAGGTTCGGCAGGTTCATTGAAGTCGAGAAGCAGGACCCCGCCTGCGTCCTCATCGTTTTCCCCAACACCGTCTCCGACTTCTGCATCGACCATGTCGCCCTGTGCGCCCATATCGAGGAGCATTTCGGTCACATGGACTGGTTCATGGGGGGATTCCCGGCTCCCCTCATCAAGGGGAAGCATGTGGTCTACAACGAGGTTTACAGAACCACCAAAGACGTGGAGAATTACCCCTGTACGTTCAGGCTCGTCGTACCGAGGCTCAGGTTTCCAGCGAGCTGCTCGATTTCAGAGATTATTGGGCACGAGACCCTGATGGCGAGGGAGGTCATCAGGAATCGCAGGAGCTCTTCTTCCATGGACCCCACCTATGAGATGGAGGCCGCGACCTTCTACAACTTCCTCCACCGCTGCCTCCCGACTGGTTCTCCTTATCCGCCGAACGAGCAGACGGCGCAGGATGCCTTCCCGTTCGTGGTTCTGCCGTGGAATAGCAGGATGAATGCCTTCATCGTAGTCCACAGGGTGAAGACGCTGCCCAAAGGCCTGTACTGCCTGGCGAGGAACGAGGACCATCTCGGTGTCCTACAGAGAAGGACTCAGTCGATCTTCCTGTGGCACCAGAATAATGAATGCGTGGAGATGAGGCTCCCTCTATATGCTCTTCTTCCCTGGGACATGGCGCAGAGAGTAGCAGAAATAGCATTCAACGAGGTGTGTCGCCAATCATCTTCTCCCCCCCCCCTTGTCCCCTCCCTTGTCCCTGCTTTTTCCTTCTTCGATCAAATTGGTGCTGCTAACTAATCTTTGTCCGTTTCGAACGCAGCCGGTTGCGGTGGACGGCTGTTTTACCATGATGATTGTGGGACCGTTTGGTGAAATGGATTACGAGTTCTGGCTGTATCCTCAATTCTTCTGGGAGGCCGGCGTTCTTGGCCATCTTCTCTCGCTGGACGCTGAGGCGCTCGGCCTATGTGGCCGTGGGATCGGTTCTTTCTTCGATAACAAGGGTGCGCCTTCTCCCTTTTTCTCCATCATTTGTATCAAGGAGCGCCCTTGAGTACCCAAGAAATTGAAGATCTCTCTTACTATGCTTATCCCCTCTTGAGATATCCAGCCAAGGAGCTTCTCACTGGTGAGAGCGGATTCTTCCAAACAATCTACCTCTACAGCGTTGGAAAACCTCTTTCGGGAGGAGGCCAGGTGGGTCTCTCTACTGCACTGAATGCTCTTTCCTCCGCCGAGCTCTTCTTGCAAATGTTCATCGCAGGTGCAGAATCCTCATGCACGAGGCGGAGAGGCCCCCTGAGGGAGGAAGACTGGCCGGGCTTCGGAGGGAAGAAGGCCTTCCTCTTCTACCTGTTCCGTTCCAAGCGGGGAAGAAGGATTTGAGCGGGATCCGATTTTAGCACCATTGAAAATAATTGAACTAAAGATATTAAAAGCTGGAAACATCATGAAATTTCCACCAGTAGATTTTGTCCTCACCGACCAACCCAAAACCCACATGATCTTTTCTTCTGAAAAAAATTAATGGAACGCTTGTTCGACAAACGCTTCTCATCCTCAAAACTAATTTGGCTGGCCTCCATTTGTCTTGCTTGGACCAAGGCATCCCTTGGGCATGCCTCCTTGTCCTCAAAATATCTCGTCGCCGCTGTTCCCAAAGGAAGAGCAGAGGTAACATTGGAGGCCTTTGTTGGTCAATGGAGACGCCCGATACCTGGTCCTGGTGGAGGAATGGAGAAGAAGATGAATCCAAGTGCTCTGCGGGCTCATGGCCGTTCTGGCCGCCGTCCTCGCTGCGTTCATTGTGTTCTACTGGTTCAAGAGGACGAAGAACGGAGCGCGTCTTCTGCCTCCGGGACCCCGAGGGTTGCCGCTTCTCGGAAGCCTCCCCTTCCTCGCCAATGACCTCCACGTCTGGTTCGCGGAGCTCGCGCACATCTACGGCCCTGTCATGAGCCTCCGCCTCGGCGCCAAGCTCTGCGTCGTGCTCAGTTCTCCCGAGGCCGTGAAGGAGGCCCTCAACGACCGAGAAGCCATCTTCGCCAACCACGACATCCCCGCGGTGGCGCTCGTCTCCTCCTACGGCGGCAAGGACATGTTCTGGGCGCCCTACGGGCCTCACTGGCGTATGCTCCGCAAGGTAACGGTGCGGGAACTGCTCAGCCCTACCACCATCGAAGGCCTCTCCGTCCTGCGCCGGGGAGAAATTCGGAGGACCATGGAGGAGATAGGGGAAAAGGCCGGTCAGCCGGTGAATGTTCGCGAGCTAGTGTCCGCCACGGCGATGAACGTGACGACGGAGATGCTGTGGGGAGGCTCACCGGCGCAGAATGGAGAGGAGAAGGAGGCCGCGGGAAGGGAGTTCCGAAAGGTGACCGAAGAACTGGTGAGGCTGTTGGGTGTCCCCAACATCTCTGATTTCTTCCCAGCCATAGCCTGGCTCGACCTGCAGGGCCTGGTGCGGTGGATGCGAAGACTGTCATTGTGGGTCGAACGCATCTTCAACTTCATCATCGAGGAGCGGCTGATGACGATGGAGGCCCGTTGAGAAGGTGACACGGTTGTGGCAGCCGTGAAGGAGAGAACAGGGATTTCCTGCAGGTGATGTTGGACCTCGTACAGAACACTGACCCCTAAGCGCTCATGACCAGGGACTGCATGAAGGCCTTACTCCTGGTGACCCCCTCGTCCTCATATCCTCCGTCAAAATTTTCAACCGAAATCTTCATACACTTGATTTCTTAATTCCCACAATGAAAATCAACTGACCATACCCCTTGTACAATGCTCACCTTTGTGTGAAACCGGGTTGACAGGACCTGGTGACCGTAGGGACAGCTAGCACTTCGACGACGGTGGAGTGGGCGGTGGCCGAGCTTCTCTACGACCAGGAGAGGATGAAGACAGCCAAAGAGGAGATTGCCGCCATGGTCAGGGTGGGCAATGTCATCCAAGGCCCACCTCCCCCACCTGTGCAACATAGACGCCATGGTTTAGGAGACCATCCACCTCCACCTAGTGTTGCCTATGTTGGTGCCCCACTGCCCCAGCTCTACTTGTGAGAGAGTCTCTCTCATTTTCTTTGCTTGACAGTGTTAGTTATCTTTTCTTATTTTCTATAAATATAGAATGTATTTCTTATTTTTATAATATAATAGACAATGAGATTTATCTCGTTCTCGGTTTTATTCTCTCTTCATCAATTATCTTCTTCCTTCTTACAAGTGAAGTCCTTATAGAAGTAAATAAGAGTCAATTACTAACTCTCATCAAGATTAGAGGTGTTTCCTAAAAGTCTTATTCTCATCAAGATTCTTAATAGCTTGGTGATTTTTTTTCTATTTGTTCTCATTGATAGCTACGAATTAAGTTTTCATTATTATTGTGATCATGTGTTTGTATATTTATTACTAAAAGTGATATTAGAGTATTAATTTGATTATTTTTGAATTTACTATAACTTGTAAGATGCACACTAACATCTAGAAGTTAGATAAGCATTCTAATATTACTTTCTAGAAGCAGCGTGTGTATGATACATTGTTACATATTAACTTGTGTAAGACTTTGGATGGACCAAAGCTAGACAAGATCAATGTTGATGATTAAAAGATAATAGAAAAAAAAGGTAGAGATTTTATTCGTATATATCTATTTGATTGGACTCTTTAGCAAGTCATGGATGAATATAATCTAAAAAAACTGTAAAAAAAGTTGGAGAAACAATATGCACCAAAATCGATGATTAGAAAATTAGCATTGAAGATAAAACTATTTAAGTTACACATGTCAGATGGATATTTTAATTAATTACTGAATGACTTACTTCATATAAAATTAAATTTTTCTAATGAGAATAAAGTTATTATTATATTTATTTTTCTTCCTAATTCATATGATCATCTTATTACGACCTTATTACATGATAGTATAATACTTGTTTTTGAAGATATTATTGACTCATTGATGAAGTATTATCATCAGAAGAAAGATATTGGTGAGACATGTGGTGAAAATTTATATGTGAAGAGTAAAAGAGAACATAGAAAATAGAAAGAGAATAGTTCATTAGTAGAGAAGAAGAGTCAGTCAAAGTCACAGACAAATTAGTTGAAAAACTAAACTTGTCACAAGTGTCATAAGAAGAGATACTCACAAAGAAATTGTTCGATGAATCAGAGTGATAAGATAATAAAAGGTGAATCTAGTTCGACTAACATTGTGAAAATTGAAGACAAAGAAGATAGTGAGTTTATTTTAGTCTTCTTGTAACTAAAGAGTTGTTGAACATAAAGATTCTTAATACTAGTTGATCTTATCATATATGTTATAATATTTACTGATTTAACTCATATAGAAGTACAACATAAGTTATTTCTATGAAAAATAACATAACTTGTGAAGTAGTTGGCATTGATTCGATGAAGGTTTAAATATTTGACAAAATAATCAAAGAGCTTGAAAATGTTCGTCATGTTCTAACATTACATCATAATTTATATTTACTTAGAGTATTGAAAGTAAACGAATGTTCAAAAGAGAGAATGAGATCTTCAAGATTATTAAGGGATCTCTCATTATGATGAAAAGAAGATGTTAATGAATAAATATTTATAAACTTGAGAGAAGTACTATTGTAAGTGGAGCTTATATTATGACACTAGATAATTTCTTGATTGATGGCATTCTTCTATGACACTTACGATTAGATTATATGAGTGAGACAAGTATGTAGAAGCTACATGCACAAGGATTACTACATGGTGTTAAAACTTACACATTAAATTTTTACAAGTACTGTATCATGAGAAAATAATATATAGTGACATTCAAGATAACGACATATGATACAGATGGTGTGTTGAATTATATTCATTCAAATATGTGTGGTCTAGTTAAAGGGACATCGATGGGTGGTACTCATTATTTTTTGACTTTTGTTGATGATTTTTTTAAGAAAGTTTAGGTATTCTTCTTGAAGCACAAATTAGAAGTATTTGTGAAGTTTAAGACTTTGTGTGCAAAGGTAAAGAATCAGACAGAGAGTAAGATCAAAGTCTTGCAAATTGACAATAATACAAAATTTAAAAATTATGAATTTGATCAATTTTATGATGAGTATAATATTCAACGTCATTATACAGTGAAGAAGACTCTATAGTAGAATGGTGTTACTAAGCGGATGAATCGTATGATTGTTGAGAGAGCATGATTTTTACGGTTGACTTGCTCAATGAATTTTGACGAAAACTATGAGTATGTCAATTTATTTGATGAATAAATTATCAAATTTACTCTTAATGGGAAGATTGTTGAAGAGGTATGAACTGAAAATTCTGTTGTCCATTTGAATTTGTATATACTTAGATGTCTATGATATGTCCTTATATCCACTCATGAGAGATCAAAGTTGAATTTAAAGTTGAGGAAATATATCTTAGACTATAACACTGAAATGAAAGGATATCAACTTTGAGATTTAGAGGTGAAGAATATTATTTTCAACATAAATGTGGTCTTTAATGAAGATCACATGTTGAAGTTATTTTCTATAGAGCACAACGTTTAAGAATTTAATGATACTTATGTTGAAGATAGAATAATATTAGAGGTGGAGATTATGCAGAGTCCTCTTAGTTCTATTATGAGTGAATAACGAGTTACAAAATCATGAGATATTCTTCATTATATTACTATTAGATAAAGTAGACGTGAAGTAATGCCTCTTACCTATCTTAATAATTATGTTATCTTTATGTTATTTGTAGGAGATGACAAGCCCACAACCTTTTAAGAGGCAATTCGTTGTCTTGGAAGGGAGAAATAATTGTAAATAATGTCTGAAGAATGAATATTTTTAGACAAGAACCACACTTAAGAATAGGTAGATTTTCATGTAAGAAATCAAACTATTAAGTGTAAATAGGTATATAAAAGGAAGCCACTAATGATTATGGTGATCAGTTATAGAACAAAACAAGATTTCTTACAAAAGGTTTTACATAGAAGTATAGAATTAATTATTTAGAGATCTTTTTACCTGTTGTGAAACACATGTCTATTCACTTAGTGTTAGTTATTGTCATAAATGAAGGTATAAAACTTAAGCAGATATATGTGAAGATGACGTTCCTCTATGGAGATTTAGAAGAAATTATTTACATACAACAACTAGATGATTTTATTGTGCAGAAGTGAAAACATCTTATTTGTCAACTGAAGAAATCTATTTATGTATCGAGACAATGGTACAAGAAGTTTGACTCTTACATGTTGAAGATTGACTATGCAAAGTGCAATTGTGACTATTGTATTTATATGAAAGATTTGTGATGAGAGTTTTTTAATTATTTTGATGATATGTTTATTACTTTGAAAAATTC